GATTGCCATGACAACAATCGGAAAAGCCCACATACAAGGACAGAAAAGAAAGGTGATTGGCCACCGCATACTCTGAATGAGGATATGATGGCAGAAGCCTCCCATAAAAGTCCACATGCCCCAAGCCGCAGCTGGAGCTGTCTCTACCAGCTGTCTTGGCTGATGGCTCCCTGCTCAAGTGCTTTCTCCTTGCTCCATTGCTTTCCTTCCTTTTCCCCTCCTGAGCAACAAAGCAGTTGTTCAGTTTGTCCCTCTGTCTCTGCTGCACAAATTCATTCACAGCTGGTGGTAAGGACTCACATTTTGGTGGGATTCCTAATTTAGGGGTCCCTCTATCCACTAACAATATGATCCAACCAAGCGGCAAAATCAGCAAGAAGAGTGCCTAGAGGAAATCCTCGGCATTCCCCAAACATCCATGCTCTTGCACATCACTGTCTTGTGCACACTGCTTGAAATACCCTTCCTGTCTTTGTCTGCTCAGCAGATTTATCCTCCATAATCAGTTTATAATGGCACCACCTCTATGAAGCCAGCCACTCCCTCTTTGTAGAATTTACCACCCTGTAGGAGTATAAAATATGTGTTTACCCACCTGCCTCCCATTTGAGTCTTGGACTGAGGCTCTAGGCAGGGTCCACGTGTTACTGTTCTTTGGGTCTCTCCCAGTGTCTAGCACAGGATTTAACACATAGTAGGTACTCAATCAATATCTATTTAATTATAAATGAATAGACTCTGATGGACAGCAGCAAGTTGTTCACAGCTTACTACAAGATGCTATGTTCCTTTGGTGACCCCAGCTCTGCTTCAGACAGCTTGCAGTGAGAAAGGGGGGGATGATTGCTTTTTTTTTTCTTTTCTTTTCAATTTTTACCCTCTGTCATCCTCAACTCACTGAAGTCACTCAAGGTGTTGACATGAAGAGGAAGAAGGGGAAAGGGGTGGGGAAAGTCTTTGCATTAGTATTGTAGCTGGCGTTGTGCTTTCTGGGTTTGGCAGATGTTTCAAGCTGTCCATCAACAAAGCATCATTGGGTGCTTTTACAGGTTCTTTGGGGGTTCCCTGCTCGGCCTCTCTCCTGCATGCCTTTTAGCAAAGGCATCTCTATTGCCAATGGTCATTTGTCTTATTTCTTACTTCTCTTTACCCTTTTAGGAGGCCCTACTGAATAGGACCCAGGATAGGCCTATGCAGGCTCTCTTTCTTTCATTTAGTGCACATCTGGTCTACAGAAAACATCCCTTGACAAATTCTGGAAGAGCAGGATAACCCCAGCAGAGCAGTACTCTCCTGGGTCTGCCACCAAAGCAGTTAGCAGGCTTGTCTCTTGCTAACAGATTTCCTGGGCGGGAGGTTGATCCAGTCCTTATGCCCTCCAACTGCAGTGGCCTTGGATTTGGCATCTCAAACCCTACTGGAACTCCCCTCTCCCAATCACTTGGCTTGAGCAATTACATCTCCCCCAAGAAGGGTGGGGACTTACAGCCAAAAATATCTCAACACAGATTCCCTACCCTCCACTCTCATAACATCATAGATAAAGGATTTAAAAACTTTAAACAGATTTTAGGCTATTAGCAAAAACATATGATTTTTTAGCACCTCACTTTGAAATTTCACATATATAATAAAAAGAAAGTCAGTCCAGGTGGCCTCTTGGCACTGGGCAGGGATGAATATCTATAAATAATGAGCAAGCCTGGGATGTGGGATCCATATTGCAGCCCTGGGAGAGGGTTAGGATATAAAGCATGTTCCCAAGGATGGAATTTAAGACCTAAAGGAAGAATCCCAGTTCACTTGGAGGGGACCAAGGTTGGTTTTCTTTCAACTGATCCATTGTCTCTCCTTCCAGTCCAGCCTCCTTTGAGGCTTTCTCCTCACTCTAATTCATCAGACAGGTTTGAACATGGCCAGACTCTAATTGTGTCGAGATTAAGTCTTTTCCCACAGGACTTTTGGGTCCCAAGCAATTCAAGTGATGTATATGAACGCCTTTTTCTTTGTCCCAAATGTTCCTGATACTTTGTTTGAAAGCTGATGTACCCTGAGAGCCTACAGAACCTCTAGGGGGGACTGTTACCCACTCTCACACATTAGCTGACTCCACTCTCTGCTCTGGCTCAGACAAAATACCCAGTTGTACTACCTTACCATGTTTTAACATGATTTCCAACTTGCTGTTAATACATTGCACTATTATCCAATACTAGTACATAATAGATAGTTAATAAATGTTTGCTAGATGAATGAATAAATGAATAAGGGAATGAATTAACAAACTGCCCTTTACAAAATCAAATACTGTTTGGTTTTAATCCCCTTCTATTCTGTTTGCCCTTTATTGGTAAGTCTTGGAAGTCTGAAACCTGTTTGTTCTTCATGGTCTTAAAATGTATTGTGTTGTTTGTTGATGGATTTATGTCATTAACTTTTGTAACACTGAACTGACTTTATTCATTCCGTAAATGCTTATTTAGCACCTACCATGTGTCAGGCTCTATGTTAAATGCTAGGAATAAATCAGACATAGTATCCTATCCTCAAGAAGCTTAAATTTCAGAGGTGGAGAAAAATAATCAGTAAACCAAAACAAATAATAAGTAAAAAATACTATGAAAGTACTATGAAAAGAGATAGAAAATGATACGATACTACTTTAAATAGCATGGTCAGGGAAGATATAGCTGAGGAAATATCATTTAGGTTAAGACCTGAAGAAAGGGGAAGTTATGAGTGAATCCAAGAGCTGGGGGAAAACTGGTCTAGGAAGATGGCAAAGTATGTGGCTGGTGTGTGTAATGTTCTTGTACACAACCTGTTACGGGAATATTTCCCTGGGGTGGATTCTCACAAGGCTGATTCTTAGCATCTTTTTCTCTGTCCAATGTCTAGGATGTTTCTTCTTCTCAACGTCATTTGCCTTTCATAATCAGTGTCCTCCCTTCCTCCCTGTCCTCCCACTTACTTTCTCTTTTTCCTCAAGGTAACTCTTAAGAACCTATTTTGTTCTTATAGGAGAAAAGATAAAATATAGCTCTCATCAAAGTGTTTCCTTCTCAGGTTCCCTTTGGCTGTGTATTGCCTATTTCACTCCTGCTATCCATTCATCCATCCATTCACTCAATACGTACTGAGCACCTATTTTGTACCACGCCTTGTGCTGGGTGCGCCAGGGATACAGAGTCTTATGCAGTCCTTCTCAAAATGTGTTCTCCATGCATCAGAGTCACCTGGTTATTTACTGGAATGCAGATTCCTAGGCTCCACGCCTGCTTTAGACTCTCTACGGGTTCAATCTGAGAGTCTACATTTTAAGAAGTTCCCCAAGTTTTTGTTTTTTTTTAAATCCCAGCTAAAAATTTAGAACCAATGAGTGGAAAAGGAAGGCAGGTATATGGAATTTACAACTCTAAAAAAGCGCATTGATAATTTATGCACAAAACTCTATGGGAATAACGCCTCTAGAGAAAGTCAGGCTTACGCAGATAATCAAACTGTAGTTCTCCGGATGGAGGCAGCACATCCAGGTAAAGAGAACACCTCGTGGAAGCAATGTGTGTTCAAACGACACTAAGTGATTATGCTGTCAGCGTTGTGTTGCCTGCAGCTGCTTCGTGCATCGGGACTGAAACTGAGGTTGTAACACGATCCAGGAGCGGATTTCCCTTTGCGCGCAGCTGTTAATTGTACTTGGTTCGTGTGTGGCGCAGTGCGCAGGCGCACCTAGAACCGGTGACCAAACACATGCGCAGTGTGTAATCTGGAAGCCAAAAGGGGGATGATTGAGGACAACTTTTTTTCTATTACCAAAAGTCCTCTTGCTCGAGTCCAGAAACCTTGGCTGTCACAATTTTTGACAAGGGGATATTATCTCTCTTAACGTAATCCCCTTTCGTTCTGGGCCACTCTCATAAACTGGCTGCCAGTACTCAACATGGCGGAGGCTCCTAAGCGGCGCAGGCCGCCCGGAGGCGCGCTACTCGGCGGAGCGGGGCCCTCCGAAAGGGCGGGAGTTTGGGGGGCGGGGTCTGTGCCGCAGCCCCTAGGTGGGCCCCCGCCCCTCCCCCCGGCCGGGCCTTAGCTACGGCTTCAGCCGCTCCGGCGCTGAGGATCACCCTGGGAATCTGCGGGAGCCGAGCGTGGTGAGGTGGGGCCTCAAGGGCAGCGGGAGGTGCCCGGGTTAACGGTCCGAGGCCCACAGACCTGCCAGCCTAGGGCGCCTTAGGGAATCCTGTTCGAGCGGCGGCCTCCAGTTCTCTGGGTGGAACCCGAGGCCCAGGGCTCCCGGCCCCTTGCCTCCGCATCCTGCTGCCGCCACCACTCTGGGCTCCAGTCCGCGCAGAAAGGGATCTTCCCGACCTTGGTATCCAAAACCAAGGAGCCTGGGGTTGTCAGGATAAGGCGCTGCGCTCTCCTCTGCTCTTGCTCCCGGCTCCCAGAATTTTGCGGCTCCCTGTGCCCTTGGGGCTTTGCATGTGATCTGTCTGGTCCTACCCGCCGTCCCACTCTGGAACTCTCATTCTTCGGGACCTAACTTAAATATCACTTCCTCTGAAACCTTTCCCAGCCTCTTTCTGCAGGCGCAGTTAGCTTGTTGCTGGGTTTTGCACACAATGCACCGACTTATTTTTTCCTGCTGCTTTCTCTATAGCCGTGCACTTGTCGGGGTGTTATGCCTTGCCTTTTTCATCTGTATCCCAGGGCCTAGCACATGATGATAATAATAATAGCTAATATCTACTGAATAGTCACAAAGGTGCTACTACATGTATTACATGAAAAGGCCCATTTAATCCTCACAGCAACTCCAGAAGATGGGTCACGTTTTATGCATGAAGAAGCTAAGGTACTCACAGATCAGTTTGCCTAGAGTCTCATGACTATTAAGTGACTGGAGCTGGGATATGAATTCTAGGTTATCTGTCCCCAGAGTATGTGATAATTTCACTAGATTTCCTTTGGTTTTGGTAAATGTCTGCTAAACTGGTCTTTATTTTAGGCCCATAAGTTACGAAGGCCAGGATTCTGATGCACATGAGAAGGCTTGGGAAGGAGAATTGATGTTCCCAAATAGACAGAGTGAGTTCATGACAAAACCGAGGCTAGAACCTGCTGTTAGCCCTCTGCTTCTTAAGTCGCACTCTACCTTTCTTTGCTCCTTTCCATCAGAGTTGCAGACCTAGACCTCATCATTTCACACCCTTTAGAATGCGTCCCTGGCAGAACTGTGGCTTCATATTTCATAATTGAGGAGGCAGCATCGTGTAAGGGAGAGGGCGTAGAGTTTGGAAGCGGATTGGGGGTTCCATCTTTGCTCTGCCACTGACCAGTTATGTCCCTTCTGTTTTTTTGAGCCTCAGTTTTCTTGTCTGTAAAATGAAGGCAATAATTTCATCTCAAAGGGTTTTTTATTGTGAGAGAGTAAAGCACTATACAAACTACATGATCTAGGTCTGCTTGTTTCTTACCTTTTAGAAGGTTATAGAACCGTCAGCGTTTTGCACGACCATTGATATGGATCATGTTGCCTGACGTTCTTAAATTAATTCGTTCAGTCAAATATCTAATGAGTACCTGCTGTTTACCAGGCACTGTGTTAGGAGCTGAGAATACAGCAGTCAATAAAACAATGTTCTTGCACTTGGGAAATTTACATTGTGTTAGATATATTACACATAATACTCAGATAGGGACAGATAAAACATGGGAAGGTAGGTAGAAAAATACAGTGGGGGGGCGGTGGTGGTGTTTTATATTGGGTGGTTAGGGAACAACTTACTGAGAAGGTGACAGTTGAACAGAGACCTGAAGGTGGTAAGGGAGCAAGAGTGGAAGAGGCCCTGGATGAGTGTGTGGCTTGCTGTGTTCCAAGCATGTACAGCAAGATCAACCGTGTGGCTGAAGGGATATGAGCAAAAGGGAGAGGAGTAAGAAATGGAATGAAAACAATTGGAGCCTGGGATCAAATAATTAGGGCCCAATATGCCATTATAATGATACTGGTTTTTACTGAGTGGCCACTGAAGGGTTCTGAGGGGCACAGTGTCGCTTTTAAAAGGATCACTCTGACTAGTCTGCTGGGAAAAAAATTTTGGAAGCAAGAGTGGAAGCATTCACTACCACCTGGGAAACTTTTGTAATTATCCAAATGTATTAGTTATCTACTGCTGTGCAAGAAATCAATCCAAAATTTAGCAGCTTGAAACAACAATCATTTAGTATAGCATATAGCTGTGGGTCAGAAATCTGGGAGCAGCTCAGCTGGCTGTTTCTGGCTTAGGATCTCTCAGAAGATTACAGTCAAACTGATGGCCGGTCTGCTCCCAAGTTGCTTACCACTGGGCCTTTTCATAGGGCTGCGGGGAGAGTGGGAAGAAAGGGAGAGAGAGTGTTGTGGAAAGATTGCCCCTGTCCCTGACAAGCCGAATAACTCAGAGACAAAATCTTAGAGCTTAGAAGAAAAGAGGCAGCTTTACTGCTTTGCCAGGCAAAGGGGACTCACAGCAGGCTAGTGCCTTCAAAACTGTGAACCTACCTTGGGGGTGGGGTAGGGTGATTATATAGTTATAGCTTAAGTGAAAACAACAATCAACAGAATCATTTATCTTGTCACAAGATTTCTTGGTATCAGGACATCCTCAGGCAACAGTTCTATAGAGGCTAGTGGTTGTAACTTTTCCAGTCTTTTATCTCACAAACACCTGCGGCATGTTTCTCCTTTTTGACAAATTAGCGTATCTTGCAAGGTTACAGTTTCGTGAACTCCTTCCTGGAAAATGACTCAGAAGCCAAACATGATTATAAATTTGAATTGCCAGAGTAAAGTAAAAACAGTGAAATCAATAACTTTAGCTTTAACAATGGGCCTGGGGCTGGGAGCAGTGTCCGGTCAATCAGATTTGCTGACCATTCTGAGAGCAGGCAGTAAGCATAAAGCTGAGAATTTGTTAGCCTAAGTGCAGCCATTTTTATTATTTCTCCTTCAAGAGGGGAGGCCTTTTGTGACCCTGTCTGGAAGTCATTTCTGCTTTATTCAGCTTCAGTAACTTTATTCCAGCTCACACTCAAGGGGAGAGAATTAGGCTCCACCTCTTGAAGGGAGGAATATCAAAGAATTTGTGAGCATACCTTAAAGCTACCACACCAGGCAAGGGAGAGTGGCTTGGCTCAGGATGATGATGGGGGTGGGTCAGAAGGGTCAAAGATGTTAGGAACTGGATTTGCGGATGGATTGGTTATAGGACGTGGGAGAAGGAAGTAAGTATAACTAAGGCTTTTGGCTTGAGCAACCAGGATAGGATTACCATTTATTGAAATGGGAAGGATTAGAGGAATGGGAGTTCACTTTTGGACAAGTTAACTTCGAGATGCCTGTTAGACATCTATGTGGAGACGTTAAATAGATGTTTGGATTTAGTATAGGAGTGTGACATTCCAGAGGAAAGTGTGGGCTAGAAATGTAACAGTGGGAGTCATGGGTGTATAGGTGCAATTTTAAACCATGAAACTGGGTGAGATTACCTAGGAAATGAATGTAGGTGGAGAAGAGGCCTGAAGCCTGAGCCCTGGGGCCTCAACCTTTAAATGGTGGGGAGATAAGGAGGAGCCAGCAAGGAGACTAAAGGGAGAAGCCTTAGATGTGGGAGGAAGGCAGAGAGGTCCCACATATGAGGTTTATACAAGGAGCTGTATGCTAATTTTTTAAAATAAGAAACAAAAAGTATCTCAGCAGACAAATATATATAGTTTCTTTGCTCAGGAAATTAAATGTTTGTGCCCTTAAGTGTTTTTCCTTTTTTGCTTTACATGGCAAATTCTGTTTAATAATACTGTCCTCATCTTAGTCCTTGGAACATTTACACCTCTACTGCAAGTTTAGGTGGTGTTGCTTCTATTTTAAACTTTATTTAAATGCTCCTTTTGGAAGAATTTGGATGAGGGGAGACTAAATACATAATTTATATCATTCTTCTGCCACTCTCCACCCTAGGTTCAGAGGTTGCTGCCCTTCCAAATCTGGTTCCCAGCAAGTCTTACTCATTTCTGTATCACTGTGGCCAATTACCTGATACTGAGCTGGAATCCACGAGTGTTTATGGGATAAATTAATGTATAAAAGAATTGAATCTTTTTCCTTTTCCTGTGGTAATGATAACATCTATTCAGTGGTTTACAGTTTACAAAGCACACTGACATCCATTATCTCTCATTTGAATGCAGTCCAGTCTGTTATCATTTGCCAACTACTACTACTAACCTTTTCCTTTTCGGAGGGGCATTGAAACCTGCCTTTCTTTTGGAGTTCTTCTAGTTTATTTATTCTCTGGCTGATCTGACAGTGTATTAATAAAAGGTGCTGAATTGTGTCTTGAGGAAGATTAGAAGTAAATCTTAATTTCAGAAAAATTTCTGGTATAATTTTTCTCTGTTCCCACCATCTTTCTATTCCTGTTTTAGTGAATTTCCTTTTCGGGTTTTAATCATAAAACAATTCAAATCATTTTTTAAATTAAATTTATTTATTAGAACAATTTTAGATTTACAGAAAAATTGCATAATACAGAGAGTTCCTATATACCCTGCACCCAGCTTCTCCTATTAGTAACATCTTATAGTATGGTACATTTGCAATAATTTCAAAGCATTTTTTTAAACCATTGAATTTTATACTTTTGGGTGGGAGGGAGGTAATTTGGTTTATTTATTTATTTTTTTAAGTGGAGGTACTGAAGATTGAACCCAGGACCTCATGCACACTAAGCATACACTCAACCATTGACCTACTACCCTCCCCCTCAAATCATTTTTTGAGGTAAATGAGGCATACAAACAAAATATAAACAAAATGAAGTTATTTCATCTCTGTAAGCCTCAGTTTCTTTATCTATAAAATGAGAGTTGTACTAAATTTTTAAATAGCTCTAAAATTTTTAAATTATCTGCTAAAGCAAAATAATCATATAATTCTAATATAATCCCATCTCTTTACTGAAGTGTTGTCACTGCTTTAGGATAAGCAGCCTCATCCTAAAAGAGAATTTCACATGAGAATTCCCAGAACTGTGGGAGGGCTGCTTATATATTAGATTCATGTAATGTATATAAAATATAGGTTTATAAATATATATGCATATATTATTGGGTAGAATTACATGAAATAATTATTTTATAGGTTAAAGGGCAAATATTGGCAGTTTCATATGGCTCAACCTAATGATTTGAGGAGAGGGATTCAAAGGAAGTTTAGGTAGCCTTTGGGGTCTCTGAGACTCTGCCAAAGGCTAGCCCAGCCCTCACAGTATTAGGAGAGAAGAGGTTCTTCAGGTCCCTTAAAGCAACTTGGAGCTACTTTTTTTTTTTTTTTTTTTGGTTGGGGGAGGTTAGGTATTTATTTATTTATTTATTTTAATGGAGGTACTGGGGATTGAACCCAGGACCTCATGCATGCTAAGGATGCTGTCTACCACTGAGCTATATATACCCTTTCCCGGAGCTACTCTTGCTAATAGTGTTGGCAGTAAGAATTGTTTCCCAGCAGGTTTGTGCCTCCACCTAGAAGAGAGAGATAGAGCCAGCATTTCACGGAGCTGTGGTGAGTTGGTCGACAGAGCCTTGGTGGAGAGGAAGGGCAGAGGGGAGGATGTTGGAGTACTAACCCAGTTTATCAGCTAAGAAGAGGCAGCCTGGGTGTTAGGGCCACTGAGCCTTTTTTGGTGCCACTGTATTCTTCCTACTTTATGCCCTTTCCTTACTGTGTAAATTCTGCAAACCAGGTATCTTCAGTTGCCCAGGAGGAAATGTAAATTAGTAAGCTGAGTTTTCCTCTATAACTCTGTTACAAGAAAAACAATAGCACAAGTGCAAAGAAATGGCAACTGAAATCTGCTATCAGTGTGAGGTTGAGGCTAGGCCAGGGGGGCGGAGAGGGAGGTGAATTGGAGAACACATGCCCTATCTGAAAGGGGCAGGCACTGTTTAACTGCAGCTGCTTGTTGCCTTGTAGGAATGAGAGTCAAGGGTCACTCCATATTCTGATTTTCCAAAGGAGCCAGAAATGTGAACTTCTGTCTGTATTCTCTCAGTCGTAAACATTGGCACCTAATTTAAATTCTTAAAAACCATTGTAAAGGCCACACAGTGATTGGAAAGAACTAGAAGTCCACATTTGTAACCTCTGGCCAAGGGTCTAGGTCTGCCCCTGCATGCATTTCTTTGCTATGCATCGTTAACAAACTACTAATGACCAAAATGATTGTCAGCTCCTTTGAGGAACTCACAGATTAGTAGAGAAGATAGACAATTAGTAATGATAAGATATAATATACACATTCTCTCTATATATTAAATATTAATTTTTAAAAATATATATGGCTATATAAATGATTAGCTATTCCTGGATACATCTGGGAGGACATGGTAGGAAGTGGCACTTTAACCAGGACAGAGGAGATCAACAGTTTGGTGCATAAGGGACTTGGGGCCCCCAAAACTCCTTCTATATTGCAAATGTTAGATTTCCCTTTGCTGTACATGCTGTTTCCTTCAGGTTATGAGACTGATGCTGCTACGGAGACAGCTCTAATAGACCGTTTTCTTGGTAGTTGAAAATACAGGTATTCCTTCAACCCTTCCAGTGGGTGTCTCAGGGTTGATAAAATGAGATAACTCCAACCTCCCCCCACCCCAGGTTACCATGTGTTTTAGAGGCCTTAGAAACTCAGAGGTCGTGTAGCTGGGTGCCTTTATATTTGGACAAGGAGCCTGAAAGGGAAGTGGCATGCTCGAGGTCACAGAACCCATTAGAGGTAGAACTTGGACTAGCACCCTGAACTCTTCTTGACCACCTTGCCTCCCCTTCTCCTGGGTATCTCTGAAGTCACTGGTTAGGCTGGCCTCCCCCACCTGTGGGAGGCCCATTGCCCTGTTCTGGCCCACTCCTGGTGGGTGACGTTGGTTTGTCTTCCTGCTGAAGCTGGCTCCTTCCCTCCTTTCGGATCCCCTGCCTGAAAAGCCTGCTGCTCTCTGTCAGAGTCAAATTACTTGTATTCAAATCCCTAGTCAACCCAATGCCAACAGTATGAACTAGGACAAATTGTTTAACCTTTCTGGTTTCTTAACTGAGGCTTAACCTTTGTAAGCCCCAGTTTCCTCATCCACATATAAAGGGTTGTAATAGTACTTATGCCAAAATGTGTTAGGAAGGCGTTGGAAGGTTTCAAGATTCTTGTGATGACAAAATGACATAGTGTGTATAAAGCACGAGAAAGTGACTGACCCACAGAAGCACTTAGCAAGTATTAACTATGATGATGACCATGATTCACACCATTCACAGCCCCCTCCCCGGTGGGCTAAATGTCCTTCTTTTGTCTTCCCATACTATCCTAAGATGTCTCTATTATTACTACATAGACCACATTGTATTGTAATTGTGTCCACTCCCACTGCTGGCCTAAAAGCAGCTTTAGTGATTCATCCAACAAGTGTTTATTAGGCACTGTGCCAGGCACTAGGGATGCAATGGTAAACTAGGAGCTCTTGGTTTAGTGCAGAGTTCCAGAAGGCATGCCAGGAAACACTAGTCCTGTGAGCCTGTCTCATGGTCCAGTAAATCTGGGAAATGGTGCTCATCATACCCCACCACCCTTTAGCAGTGAGGTCCATCTTAGCATTTTAAAAGCTCCAAGGAGTCCTGTAATAAAAAGAACCTATTTACTTTGTCCAGCCCAGCTTTGCCAGACTTAATGAGTATTTGCTGAATAAATTTGAGTCATCTAGACCTTCTTTCACCTCCACCGTGTGCTTTGGTCCCCAGCTCAAGAGGAGGTCCAAGTGGCACAGCAATGATTAGAGACCCTGCTGGCAGCAAACAGCCTCTGGCTGCGTAGGGGCCTGTGGGCTTACTATCTGCTGCCCCTATGGAGACAGGGGGCCCTGGGATGAACAGCATGAAGCCCCAGTCACTGCAGCTGGTGCTGGAGGAGCAAGTGCTGGCGCTGCAGCAGCAGATGGCAGAGAACCAAGCAGCCTCCTGGAGGAAGCTAAAGAGCTCCCAGGAGGCCCAGCAGAGGCAGGCAACCCTCGTGAGGAAGCTGCAGGCCAAGGTGAGGCAGCTGCCCTTCCCGGAAGGGGAAAGAGGAGAACACCTAGAGCTGGGGGCTGAGGTGGGATGAGCTTTGTAGGGGACCAAGCCACATCGTGGGAAAGCCCCAACCAGCTGTCCTCTGATGCTCACAACTTCTTGAGCTATCTGATTTGTCCCTTTCAACAGGGATGTTCACGAGGGTTAAATTAGCTGTCTCGGTTTGTGTTCCTAGTCTAGAGCTGGGACCTGACCCGAGGTTCTCTGGTTCCAAAGCCCATGAACTTACTTCTCCAAAACAAGAGCTATAGAGAACGTGGTATTAAGTGACCAAGTAGAAACCGTAAGATGTTATGGCCTTACCTCACTATCATCACCCAGTCCCTCATTCACAGCAGGTGTGCCCATGACCCTCAGGGGGCCTTTGCTTTGGGCTGTTTGTACCAGGTGTGGCCCATTGCCTGCATCCTGCTCTGTTTGCCTCAGGTGCTGCAGTACCGGAGCTGGTGCCAAGAGCTGGAGAAGCGGCTGGAAGCCACTGGGGTGAGTGAGGCTGTTCTGTGCTCCTCCTGAGCCCTCAGTGAGAGTAATTAAACCTGTTTGCTGACTGAGGGAGGCTGGGGTGTGATAAGGTGGTATTTGGTAGAAGCCTCTCTTTCTTCAGCCCGAGAGAATATTACACAGATACCTTCACTGGACTGAGCTATTCCTGGCCTGTCTGACTCCAACCCTTGGCTCTCTAAGGACAAAATGCAGCTTCAGGAGACTTAATATTATCAGATTGGAAGGGGTGTGGAATCCGAGGGAAGAGATACATTTTTCCTCCAGAAGGTGTCAGTGTTTATCTGTCTTAGAGAGGCATGTGCCTTTTGCCTGGAAAACATGTTTGTGGCAGAGGGATTTCTTTGTGCTGTCAGCTGGGGAGAACTGGCTTTCAAAGACCCATCTGCTTTGTGCCAGCTCCCTCTCAGCACCTTCTCACACAACGCTTGGAAGATTCTCTCAGAATAAGGAGAGAACCAAGGCTTATTAAATACTGTCCTATGTAGGCCAGGCACCCTCAGGCATTGTCATAGAATTATGTTACTTAATCTGCAAAGCAACTTTCTGAGGAGAATGATTTCACCTTCATTTTGTAGCTGAAGACTTTGTGGCTCAGAGAAGTTAAGTAACTCTCCTAAGGTCCAAAAATGAGTGTAATAGAAGTCAAGGCCATGAGCTTAAGTTATATATTATGCTTCTTAGGTTGGAAGTTCTTTTCACTACCCAATGACATCTTTCAGGAGAAGTCACAGGTCTACTTTTGGAAAGAGAGATGCAGTGGATTTACTTTCAGGATGCAGTGGTGGAGAAAAGAGGCATATTGCTAACAAAGGGGAGAGAGAATAAAGAGAAAATGGGCTACTGTAGAAGAGGGCATCAGGGAATTGCTCTGAGGGATGTTCTCTTTGGAGGTAAATAAGGCTTGTTTTTGTCTGGTTAAGGGACCGATCCCGCAGAGGTGGGAAAGCGTGGAGGAGCCAAACCTGGAACAGCTACTAATGCGATTGGAGGAGGAACAACAAAGGTGATGGACCCCAACTTTCTGGCCTGGGTGGTTGGCCGGCGGATGGAGAAAGCTGATGGGAAACCTCAGTCTCGAGGGCTGACATGGATTAGAACCAAGGACTTCAGCCTTAGCCCTCCAGTTCCTGGCAATGGAAAGTTCCAGTGGTTGTCATCTTACTCCAAGAGGTCCAAGAGTTGGCTCAGACCTTTATTTTGTACTTACTCCTACCCCTCCCCAGTGCAGGTGTGAGAGTCTAGCAGAGGTGAACACCCAGCTTCGGCTGCACATGGAAAAAGCTGACGTGGTGAATAAAGCGCTTCGGGAAGATGTGGAAAAATTGACAGTAGACTGGATCCGGGCCCGGGATGAGCTAATGAGGAAGGAGAGCCAGTGGCAGATGGAGCAGGAGGTAAGAGAAACAAAGGGGTGGGAACTGCCCTGGTCAGTGCTGGAAGGGGTTAACTTCGGGACTTGGATGGAAACTGAGCTGTTGTTAAAGTCTCTGGCCACCCTTAACACTCATGCTGGCAGCTCTGCCCTGCTTGGGCTGTCAGTTTAGTTCTGTCCTTACCTGCCCAGTCGAGGTAGGATGACACTCAAAGCAGCTCTGTTCCTGCCTAAGTGACTAGCTCAGGTTTTAGATGCATCTTAAAGTTTACTGGCTCCCCTCGTCTGGAAGTCTGCATATCTAGGTGCTGAGGAGGTAGCTATGGAAATTGAGTGGGGAAGAAAGTTTCAGATCCCAGTAAAGGAAACTAATGTTTCCTGAGCCTTTGCTCTGGGCCAGGTATTATGCCAGGTGATTTACATATATTCTATCATTTAATCATCATGATAAGTCTGTGGTGATGATGCTAATAGCTCCCACTTGTTGAGCAGCTTATCCTTTTCTAATCTAGCTCAAGGAAGGCCATATACCCTCCCAGGCCCTTTGACTTCTCGGATCCCACTGCTAACTTTATTAAACACTTCAGCATAACCTGAATATAGACACTCATTCATAAGCTATCTCCTGTCAGTCCCTCCTTCCCTCCCCTCAATAGTCAGGAGGAATCCAAGACTCCTGTGTTGACAGAAGATGTCCTCTGCCCTTTGGTATGACACCTGGGTTTCTGAACACACAGTTCTTCAAGGGCTACCTGAAAGGGGAGCACGGTCGCCTCCTCAGTCTATGGCGGGAGGTGGTGACCTTCCGACGCCACTTCCTGGAAATGAAGTCAGCCACCGACAGGTTAGTCTGGGGATAAGAAGGGAGAAGGTTTGCCCTACCAATCCTGGACTTCTGACAGTGGGCTGCTGTCACAGAGGGGCTCAGGTTGTGGAGGAAGGGCAGGGGGTGGAAGAGTTGGTGGGGAGAGTTGGTATTATCGGATTCAGGTGACTTTTCCCAGACCTGCTGCTCAGCCTTTACTGGGCCTGACCTCCACGCTCTCTTCCCTGGTCCCTGCTGGAGTTGGCTCTTTCCTTGCTTGTACTCAGAGACCTGACGGAGCTCAAGGCTGAGCATGTGAGGCTTTCTGGGTCCCTGTTGACCTGTTGTCTGCGCTTGACTGTGGGAGCAGCACAGTCTCGGGAGTCTGATGGATCTGGGAGACTGACTGGGAACGAGCCATCCCAGCTGCTGCTGCTGTTAGCCAAGACCCAGGAGCTGGAGAAGGAAGCCCACGAAAGGAGCCAGGAGTTACTACAGCTGAAGAGTCAGGGGGATCTGGAGAAGGCTGAGCTCCAGGACCGGTGAGATGGGCTGGGTCCTCGGAAGGGTTTGCTAATGGAAAGTTGACTCCCTTAGGGAGTTAGAGAGGCAGCGGAGACATGAAGAGCATTCCTCCCACAGGAGGGAAATGAGATGTGCCAGAGGGAGTCTAGTTTGAAACCCAGTGTCACTGTCCTCTGCCCTCAGGCTGTCATGCAGCTGAGTTTCTCTCCTGTTGACTTAGAGCTAGTGGTGCCTCCCCTGTATCAACCCCGAACTACTTGCCATTCCCAGAACAGCTAAGTTCTTCTGTGCTTCCCTGCCTTTGTAGATGCTGACCTTAGCCTGGAATGCCCCCCTCCCTTCTCTCCCTACCTTATCCTTTAAAGCATAGTTCAAATGTCACCTCTTCTCTGAAGCCTTCTCCGATCTCAATAGCCTGTTAAATTACTAGGCTCCCATAGGGTCTTTTGACCTGCTTGTTACAGTATTGATCTCATTGATTATTTAATTTCCTTTCTTTTTTTGTTAGGCTCTTTTTTTTTTTTGATTATAATAAAAATATATATATACATATATATATATTTTTTTTAAGTGGTAAGAAGGGCAGGCACATAAGCAAAGAGCTCCATTTGAATCTCAGGGCAAAGTTCAGTTTATACCCCATGGCTAGGGTTGTGTCACCACCTATTGGTGGTGTCCATATATTGCAGTTTGTTTTGTTTGGGCTGTGAAGTCTCTGGGAAGCCAAAGGACAGAGGCCACGTCTTAGTAAGTTTATGGCCTAGTGCTTTGCACTTCACCTACCGTATAGTAGAAAATAAATCAATAAATGTTTGTTGAATGATGCAACAACTAAATGAGCATACAATGAGTTAAGACTCTTAAAGATGGTATAGAATAAAATAATGAAGACTCAGAAAAAAAAATTAAACCCTGGATGAATTCATTCAAGAAATATTTATTTAGCTACACATGTAATACCAGCTACTGAGCTCCAGGATGTAGTCTTAAGTGATAAGGATGTCTGGTGATTTCCCTGAACTTTGAGGTTAACATCAGGGAGGTTGATCATAATCTCCCCCAAATTGCCCCTCCTTTTTCCCTATCAGAGTCAGAACCTTGGGCTGGAGGGACCTTGAAACTATCCCATGTGGCAATTCTGATGGGCTTATTGGCTTCAGAGTGCTTGACTTCAAGATCAAGTGGGGCCTGGAAAGGCCTCAGCCAGGGCTTTCCTTCAGCTTTTGGGCCCCCAGACACGTGTTCCAGCCTTGAGATGTGGTAAATCACTGCATGTGTCTGAGTGGCTTTGGCTTCCCCCCTGAGTTCAAGACTATTATGTCATGTGTTCAGGGAGTGAGGGGCTGGGGGTGCCCAAGGGACTCTGGGGAGTGGGGGTGTCTGTGTTGAGGTGGGGTGTGCTGCATAGTAGCTCTGTCCACATCAGGAGGTACCCAGATGACAGTGCTGTGTTCTTCTCTTCAGGGTGACTGAGCTCTCTGCTCTACTGACCCAGTCTCAGAAGCAAAATGAAGATTATGAAAAGATGGTAAAGGCTCTGAGAGAGACAGTGGAGATCCTGGTACATGACCCTTTGTTCTGGAAGGGAATTGGGGGTGGGCTTGTAGGTTCCTTGCCCTTCATGGACAGACTAGGGCAGGATGCCAGTTGAATGTTCCTTGATGACATCCCCTAAAGCGAAAAAGTAAATTTTGGCTGAATCTGAAAATTAATTAACTTATTTATTTATTCATTCACTAAGCATTAGCTGTCTACTATCCCTACCATATTCCTGGGGGAACTATGGTGGTACACACCTGCAGCGTGTCCTCATCTGAGAGAGTGGGACACACATGAAGAGGCAGACTGGTGAAGCAGGAGGGGGATGTGTGGAGAGATTCAAAACCTAGACCTAGAGGAAGCAACGGAGAAGCAAGGCGATGGTTAACCTGGAGAAGAGGGGCGTGAGGAAGACATGATGGCTGCCTTCCACAACTGAAGGACTGACACTGGGGAAGAGAGTTGGCTTGTTTAATGTTTTCTGGGTGGGCACGTGTACTGCCAACTAGAAGTTACAGGGCAGTAGAGCTAGAGCTGTTCAGTAGTTGAACAGTCCGTCTTGTGAAGGAGTGAGGTTTGTGTCACTGGCTTACCACCTGTCAGAGATATTATCAAAGGGATGCTCAGAGGTTGAATGTTAAAAACCTCTGGCTTGATTCTATGTTTCCTTTCATCTCTGGGAATTTTCAGATCTCTGAGTTTAGGAGAATCCTGCAACTCTGTCTGCATGCAAATCCCTACCCTTCTTATTCAAGTTGGAATCAGCTGGAAGCCAAACTTGCTTATGCCTTTTTGGTTCCTTTTTGTTCAGGAATTTGCAAATTCAAATGTCTGCAGGGCCTGAGTAATGTAAATGAATGAAGTGGGTTCAGTTGTAAGAATCCTGGTTTTCCAGTGCTATCATAATTGAGTTTCCAGTATAACAGGGGACACTTAATCTCAATAGTAAGGAGACAGAAATAGTGGGGACTGCAGGACCTTGAAGAGTATTCGTCCCATCTGGAGGAGGCATCCACTGTTCCACTTCAGTAAATTATTATAGGAATGGGGGCCAGTGTGGCCCATTTGTTAACTTTTTAAGAGAACCAGAAATTCAGATTTGTATTAGTTTTAATGAGTTTCTCAATTCATAAAATTTTTAAATGTTGGTTCAAATTTTGTATAGGCCATACAAAACATAGCTGCAGGTCTGCGTCTTCAGGCCTTCACCAGCACAATAAGATAGGAAGGAGAAGGGGAAGTCTTGAGAGTTAGAATTTATTACTGGCCTTGGGGCTGGAGATTTCTCTGGTTTAGCCTTAGGTCTCAAGCACCAATGTGCTGCTCAGAAACGGCAGTCATCCTTCATCCAGTGATAGCTCACATTTGTTAGTATTTGCTTTGTGCCAGGCACTGTGTTGAGTCATTTACATGCAGTTTTTTCATTTAAGCCTCAAAACAAATCTATGAAGTGGTTGCTGTTAGTCATTCCTCTTCTAAAGAGAAGGAACCTCAAAGACGGAGTTGCCTAAGGTTACCAAGCTAGTGAGTGATAGAGCAAGAACTCGAATCTAGGCAGCCTAATTTAGAGCTCTTAATCCCTCAGTCTGAACCCTCAATCACCACATCACATTGTCCTCAGCGTCCTGGGACAGCGTTAGCATTCACATGCGGTCAGGGGAAAAGCTGGGCTGACAGGATAGACAGAATGAGATTCTGGTTAATTTGGGGCCTAGAGTGATAAATTCTCTCTGAGAGTTTGGCTTACAGTCTCTGTTTTGTTCCCTGTTCAGGAGGCAAATCATGCAGAACTAATGGAACATGAGGCATCTCTTAGTAGACATGCCCAAGAGGAGAAGCTGTCTTTACAGCAGGTGATCAAGGACATAATCCAGGTACTGGTGGGCTTCCGGTTCACGGTAACCTGTCATGCCTCACTCCTCCCCAGACCGCCATGTCCTCTCAGCTGTGCCTAGAGGAGTATTTTGGACTTCAGGTCTTGTGAGGATGAGTTCTTTGAGTATATTTGAAGACTGAAACCCTAAGGGGTAGCTGCAGGGTATAGCTCAGTGGTAGAGTGCAGTGCTTAGCATGCATGAGGACCTGGGTTCCATCCCCAGTGTCTCCATTAATAAAGTAAATAAATGAATAAATAAATAAACCTAATTACCTGCCTCCCCCAAAAAAACACCTTGTCCTAAGGGGTTGCTGAACTTTCCTGTGCTGGCTCTGCCTGCTGGAACAGGCCCTCTTTCTTATTGCCAGTTGCAGTTCTCAGGCCAGGGGCTGGATTCTGATCTTTGTTACCTCAGTAGCCTCTCCTGTCATCTGTTCGGGGACTGCTCAGGGAGTGCTCTAGCTTTGCTGCTTGTCCTAGGTTTGAGTGACCAAAGGTGAAGAGTTAGTTTGAAGAGTTGAAGAAACCAACCCTTTTTGCTCTTAGATACCCTCCTCCCACCCACCGCAGGGAGAGGACCTGAGAAGGAAAACCTCAGGTTTGTCCAGGCTGGAGTGTTAGTCCTCTGAATGGATTCCAGGCCTTGGTCTAGATGACCCTGCTGTGTTGGGTTCCAGGTCATGGTGGAAGAAGGGGACAGTATGGCTCAAGGCTCTGGTCATGAGAGCTCCTTGGAGTTGGACTCTAGTGGCTTCTCCCAGTTTGATTCCCAGCACCCAGACAAGGCTCTGACTCTGGTGCGCTCAGTGCTGACTCAGAGACGCCAGGCTGTGCAGGTGAGAACCCCAGCATTCCTCCTCAGCCACAAGGATGGGTGTCTAAACTGACTTGTGCCCCAGGTACCCTCCTATCCTAGACTTCCCCTTGCTCTATGCTGAGTGGTCATGAGGTGCTCTGTCTGCACCCTGAACTGTCTGCCCAGTTGTGCTCGTGAGGGAGCAGCTGCATTCCGTGCCAGTGGCATGCTTCACTTGGCACACAGTCTTTACCCAGCACTGTGCAAAATGGAGCCCTGGGAGAGTGTAGGTGAGTGTTCCCCAAGTCTAAGGGTCCCAGCCACACTTACCTGCCCGTACCCCCCTCTACATTGGAAGATGATGGAATCTGAGACCCTGGGAGTCACAGAAGCCCAGTCACCACTGATGCTCTGTCTTCTCGACTGGTCAAATCTCTGTTCGTAGCTTACTGTTGTTGCACCAGCCCCCAACCCCCTTGCCCAGCCCTACGTTCAATCTTCTGACACCCCTCCTTTGCCCTGCCTCTTGTTCACCACCTCACTTCTGTCATTCTCCCTCCACAGGCCCTAAGGCAGCAGCTGTCGGGTTGTCAGGAAGCTGTGAGCTCCTTGCGGCAGCAGCATAATCAGTGGGAGGAAGAGGGTGAGGCCCTGAGACAGCGACTGCAGGAGCTCACCGGGGAGCGGGACACTCTGGCAGGGCAGACTGTGGGCCTGCAGGGGGAGGTGGACTCTCTCAGCAGGTGAGCAGGGGCTGTTCATCCCACCCTTCCTCCCAGGCTCAGTCCTCTCCCGGCCCTTTACCCACTCCATCATGTTTTTGGTTGGCTGACCCTGTTTTTCCCGAGACCCAGGGCTGATCAGGGCCACCTTGCTTTGTATTCTGAGGGTTCCCCCTCACTCAGTTTTGGGTCTTTGTGATGATAAAAAACAGTTTCCTGCTCAAAACAGAAGATGAGATATTTAAAAGAAACAGATACCTCTCTCCTTTGACCTTGTGTTGTCTGCTTCCAGGAAGGATTTTAGCTTCCAGGTTTTCTGCTCATCTCTGATCTCCTTCTTCCAGGGAGCGAGAGCTCCTGCAGAAGATGAGGGAGGAGCTGCAGCAGCAGCTGGAGGTGCTGGAGCAGGAGGCGTGGCGACTGCGGAGAACAAACATGAAGCTTCAGTTGCAGGGCGACTCTGCTCAGGGCGAGAAGGAGGAGCAGCAGGAGGAGCTGCACCTGGCTGTCCGAGAACGGGAACGCCTGTACGTGTGACCCATCCCCTTCTCACTGGGGCTTGATCCTCACTTCCCTTCTGCCCCCTCTTCCACCCACTCCCCTCCCTTAGAAAGTGGAGTAAATGAATGCCTGGCATGCAGTGGGTTCAAATTAGTTTACTGCTCCATCCTTCACAGAAAGATGAATACAGAAAGTTCATCCAGGCTTGGCTGAGCACATGGGGGCTGAGACACCGTGGGGGATACAGAAATAAATAAGACACAGGCCATAATCTCAAGCAGTTTGCAGTCTAATGAGGGAGACAGACCAATAAACTGTGGCCGGATGAAGTATGAGCTAAATGGAGCTTCAAGCTAGGTCCCTGGGGAGAATAGAAGTACCAGTTAAGTATTGAAAGCTTCATGGGGGAGAGGGCAGCCGTTGAGCTGGGCCTTGATGTATTTTAATTGGTAGAGAGTGGGATAGGGACTAAAGGAACAGATTAACAAAAAAAAAAAAAAAGGATGCAGGAAGGTTTATAGCATGTTCGGAGTTGGCTGGCTGGTCAAAGGGTAGGGCTTTTCCTGGGAAGCAGTGGGAAATGAGCTGGTCAAGAAAGGGAATTCCAGAGTAAAGGGACACAGCTAATCTGTAAATTCCCCGACACGATGTCATAGAAAAAGCAAGGACTTTAGAGCTCGGCAAAAGCTTGGTTTGAATTATGGCTCTGCCACTTGGACAGATTACTTTATTTGTAAAATGGGAGTTAATAATATTTACTTTGAAGGAGCATTGGGAAGATTAAAGCAGTGTTTTGCAAAATATATGGCATATGGTAGGTCTTCAGTCAGTAGTAACAGGGGCTGTGTCTTCAGCTTTGGTACATCCCCCTCCTCTCCTGTACCCTAGCTCCTTGCACTAGTAGGCACTAGTAATGGAATCTTGAAGGATTGCTGTAAGGATCATGACCTGTGCAAGGAATGACCTCCCTTGTACCAAGGAAAAGAACAGACAATCCATAAAGATGACTTTAAGTTTTTAAATTTTATTTGTTTGAATCAATAATGCAGTTATTAATGTTTATATGATTCTAAAGTCAAAACTATTTTAAAAGGTAAACATAGAACTCTTTCTCTCCTCTGCTTCATCCATCCCATTTCCCTTCTTTCTGTGGGTAACCATTTAAAGTAATTTTCGTTAATTTTTACTGTGCTGTTTTATGCAGTGCATATATTCTTATTTCCCCCAATCTCTAGCATATAAGATAGTGCACTACATATACTGTTCTGCACCTTGCTTTTTCCACGTTTTGTGTCTTAGAGATTGTTCTTTATCAGTTTTTAGGGACCTTCTTCATTCTTTTGTATCGCAAAGACAATTGCATTCCTGTTATATTTTGGGGTGTGGCCCCTCCCTAAGGTTTCCTCTAGTCCCCTGTCTTTTCTGTCTTAGTCAGGAGACGCTGGCAGGTCTGGAAGCCAAACAGTCCGAATCTCTCAGTGAACTGATCAGCCTTCGGGAAGCCCTGGAGTCAAGTCGCCTGGAAGGGGAGTTGCTGAGGCAGGAGCAAACAGAAGTGACAGCTGCGCTGGCCAGGGTGCGTAGGGTCCCCCTAGCTGGCTGGGTAGGGTGGGCGGCTTGAAAAGCTGTGTTTCTAGGACAAGGGGGTGCAGCTTTGCCTCATTCTTCACCCTGCAAGCCGTGTCCCTTCCTCTTTCTTGCTTCAGTGATTAGTTTCTGCTTTTGGGTGCTATCCCTCCCAACAGACTCTCTGTATTAGAATTAGTGTGGTTTTCTAATGTATAAATCTGGTCATGTCCGTCTCTTTCCTAAAACCATTTAGCGGCTTCCCAGCTCCTTGGGGCCACATTCAAAGCCCTCTGCCACCTACCCCCTCCTCTTCACTCCAGATCCATGTCCTAACTCCTCAGATACCTCCCCTCCCACCACACAGCACTAATTGCATTCTCAGTTTTACCTCTTCTTTCATGACTCTAACACTTTGCATGTACTCTCCCATTTGCCTAGACTGCTTCTTCCTCCCCTTTTAACCGCAAACTGTTCCTCATCTCTCAATACCCAATTTAATTGTCAACTCTTCTACCAAGCATTTTTGCTTCTCCCAGACTGAATAAATGCTTTCTTTGAGGTCCCAGAGCACGTGTACTTATGTCGTCTACGGTGTCTTTACAGTTGTAGTTGTTTATACATCCTGGTCTCTGCACCTCTATACTGTGAGTCCTCCTTACTCCTTAATGAATGAATGGATGGATGAGTGAGTGAAGGGAGAAGTTGTTTAGAATGTAAGGGAAGGAATAAAGTGTTAATGGTCCCTGTACAAGGAAAGCAGCAGGTGTTGGGGACGCAAGCTGTTCATTGTTGCAGGAAAACTGGAAAAGGGAACTCTTCAGCTGTCTCTGTTTTTAGGCAGAACAGTCTGTTGCGGAGCTGTCGAGTTCTGAGAACAGCCTGAAGGCTGAGGTGGCTGATCTTCGGGCTGCAGCGGTCAAGCTCAGTGCCTTAAATGAGGCTTTGGCCTTAGATAAGGTTGGGCTGAACCAGCAGCTTCTCCAGGTGAGCAAAGATTTCCCTGATCCACAGGGTAGAGCTTGGGCAAGCCAGTGACAGACAAAGCTGATGCCTGTGACAAGGAAGAGTTCTTAAATGGATCAGCCCAAGACAGATCAGCTCCCAAATGTCCTAGAATGAGCAAAAGGAACATTTATACAGAGGAGAGCAAAGATTATAAGGCCTGGGCTGAGCCATTGAAAACAGACCTCCCCACATCTAAAGCAGAACCACCTTCGGGCATTAGGGTAAAATCTTCAGGGCGCGGAAGAAGGCCCGTGTCCTCTGGAAGGAAGACTAGGTTTTAAATCCTGTTATATGTGTGAGGTAACATCAGTCACCAGAAAAGGATTTGCTGAAGAGCCTAAATCTCAAAGAATCTTCTCTATAGGTTGCAAATGTAACGTCTCTTCACTAACCCCCATTCCCTTGAGCCCCAGAAATGTTCTCTGCTCCCTCATTCTGAATTCTTTGAGAGCAAGATTTTGCCCTTTTTATCTCTATCCCCAGCAACAGCCCATCTAGCACATGGAATAAAGGCTCTATACCAAATGAATGCATAGCCCCCCTCTCTCGTAAGCACTCCTTGTTCATCTTTGGAGAATAGATTCATATCTCACTTGGATTTCTGTCTCAGCACTTCATCTCTAAACCATAACCTTTTGTCTTTGATGCCCTTCCCTTTTGGGCCAGTAGTTAGAACAGGAGAACCAGTCTGTGTGCAGCAGGATGGAGGCAGCAGAGCAGGCGAGAAACACTCTGCAGGTGGGCCTGGCAGAGGCCGAAGGGAGCAGGGAAGCCCTGTGGGAAAAGAACACTCACCTGGAGGCTCAGCTGCAGAAAGCAGAGGAGAGCAGAGCTGAGCTGCAGGCAGAGCTCAGGGGCCTCCAAGAAGAGAAGGAAGAAATTCAAGAGAAACTAAGCGAGGTGAGAAGACAAAACTGATGCCATCGCATTAAGTTATAATATATGCTCACTATGAAAAATGAAGACACAATGGAAATGATTCAGAAAGGGGAAATCTCACTTCCTAGAAATGACCAGTGTTACTAGTTTGGGATATATCTTCCAATTTTTTAAAAGCATCCCTACAGGAACCCACTGATTCCGCACTGCTTCACATTCACCAGGTTGAATTAGATGCCTCTCCTGTGTGCTCTGGTAGTACCTCGTGTTTATTTCAACCGCCACACCTGTATACTACATTATAAGCGTTTGTTTACATGTCTCCACCATTAGACCAAAAGACCCTTGAAGGCAAGGCTATGTCTTACTTGTTTTTATTCCTCCAGCTTTTAGCATAGTGTCTAACACAAAGTCAGGGAGCACAGTAAGTTTTTTTCTGAACCAATGACTCAATTCAAAGGTCATCTTCCTCCTCTATCAAACTTCTCATTGCCCTAATAATTATATATAATCTCCCTTCTCAGAGTCCTTTCCTCAGGGCATTGATCACTTTCTTCCTGGTATTATGTGTGTATCTTACTTCTCCTTAAGACTAAAAGCTCCTTAGAGGTAGATCTCTTGCAGCCTTAGCACAGAGTCTTGCTCAAAGGAGAGCATGTTTCCTGGGCTGGGGGGTCTAGGGGTTGGTCAGGGAAATAGAAGATGGCACTTGGTATGAGTTTGCAATGCTCAAGGTTCACAGAGCTGGGTCCAGGATCTCTGTAGCAGCCCTGGGGGGATCCTGCCTCTGCTCTGTATCTCATCAGTTTCTTCCCCTCAGGCACATCACCAGCAGGAGGCAGCCTCAGCTCAGGTGGAGCAGCTGCATCAGGAGGCAAAGCGACAGGAAGAAGTGCTTGCCAGGGAAGTCCAGGAGAAGGAGGCCCTCGTCCGGGAAAAGGCAGCTCTAGAGGTGCGGCTGCAGGCCATAGAGCGGGACCGGCAGGACCTCTCTGAACAACTGCTGGGGCTCAGGTAGGGCCCAGACCCAGGTCCACCAAAGGCAGAGAGAGCTCTGCAAAGCAAAGGGTAGCCAAGCTAAGTTCCCTGCCCAAAGTACATGTGTTCTAAATGAGTTATGAGTCCATAATTGCCCCCCTAACTTCTCTAGGTGGCCAGTAGTTAGAACCCAACTCCTCTTAAGGAAGGGTAAGGGGCTTGGTGGGTAAGAACTCTCCTGATTCCTGAACCTGACAGCTCAGCCAAGGAGCTACTGGAGAGCAGTCTGTTTGAGGCCCAGCAACAAAATTCTCTGATAGAGGTCACCAAGGGGCAGCTGGAGGTCCAGATTCAAACTGTCACTCAAGCCAAGGAAGTAATCCAAGGTGAGAACCCAACTGGGACGGGCACACTTTATTCCATGGGGATGTTGAAAGCCAGGAAGATAGTGGGAAGCTATTAGAGCCAAGCCCAGGGCCTCTGAGATGGGAGTTACCCATGAGGTCTGGGGAGAGGGGTGAAGTGTGGAGGGCAGAGGCTCAGAGACCAGATCCCGTCCCTGGCATCTTAGGGGAAGTGAGGTGCCTGCAGCTGGAGCTGGACACTGAACGGAGCCGGGCAGAGCAGGAGCGGGATACAGCAGCCAGACAGCTGGCCCGAGCTGAGCAAGAGGGGCAGGCTGCCCTGCAGCAGCAGAAGTCAGCCCATGAGGAGGAGATGAACCGGCTCCAGGAGAAATGGGTAGGTGGTGGATGTAGCTAGGGGATGGGAGAGACAGATCTGGCCTCCTTTCAGTGAGTGTGCCACCTTTTGGCTCTTGGTCCAGATATTGCTGCTTATAGGAATGAATTCTGAACAGGACTAGCCTGGTCAATCACCAAGGTGCAAAATCCAGCTTCTGGCTATTAAATGTGTTAATACATGAAAAACACTAACAACAGTTCCTGGCATGTAGTAAGCTCTATATTTGTGTTAGCTATTATTATTGTATTTGTTTCTGTATGTGCAGAAAATTAAGAGTGGATCCTGGGATTTAGGATTGATAAACTGGCCTCAGTGTGTAAAGGGACCAGAGAAATGCCTTGGATTGATTCCTGCCCAGTTCAGAACTGTGTTTCTTTTGTCTCTTAGTTATATAATTTAGTCCATTTGCTTTTACTGTGATTGTAGGTATATTTGGATTTATTTCCTCCATCTTCTGCTACTTGTCTCGTCTTTTTATACCTTTGGGGAAGGGAGATCACCTTTCTTAATTTCTTTTAAAGGGTTATATTGGATAGTTAACTTGTATTTTCTCACCTCTTTTTTTTTTCTGCTACTTTGGATGATATGCAGTCTATTTTTTTTTTATTCTCTTAGTTCTTTAATATTTTAAAATACATGCTTAATAAAATCTCAGGGTAATGAATTTATTTACCCTTTTCCTGAATGACACAAGGACCACAGAACATTTTACCTCCATTCACTCCTCCAAACCTATCTACTGTTTTAGTCAATGTGCCTGGTTATAACTAATTTGTTAACACCATAAATTATGCATTTTAATTATTTTATACAGTCAATATTTGTTTAAAAACACTGAAAAATTTACAAGTTTTTTTTCTTGCTCATCATTCCTTCTTGTATATCAAGCTTTCTATTTGGATTTATTTCCTTCTTGAAGTAGAATTTCTTTGGTGACAGTCTGTTGGGAGTTAATTATCTGAAAATGTCTATTTTACTTTTATTCTTGAAGGATAGTCTCACTGGGTATAAAATTCAGGTGCAGATTCTAGGGTGACAATTGCTTTCTGTCAGCACACTGATTACTCCATTGTTGGTATTGAGAAGGCTCTGACCTTCTCAGGGTATCCTCCATGTATCTTAACTCCCTCTCACATTTTCTCTGCATACTTTTCTCTTTCTACACTGTGTTCTGGGTGATTTTTTTTTTGAGATCCCTCTTCTATTCACTAATTTCTCTTTTCAGCTATGTCTAATCTGCTATGTAGTCTATTCACCGAGTTTTAAATTTTATTTATTAAGTATTTTATTTCCAGATGTTCTTTTTGGTCATTTTTTCATCTTGGTCATTTTTTTAGTGTCATTTCCCTGAGTTATATTTTCAGTCCCCTCTTTTATTCTTTAAACACACAAAACATTCTTTTATGCTATCTAATAATTCCAACAACTAAAATCTTCTTGGATCTGACTGTTATATGTGATTTCCTTTGGCTCTTACTCATGGCCTTGGTCCCTATGTGTTTTGTGGCTCTAGACTCTGAGCTCACGTTCTCTGGAAATTTTTCTGTGGGGATCCTTTTAGGCCTGAGGCAAAGGGGCTTTTCCTCAGAGATTTCCTTTTGCTTTTGTCAGGAAGCTGAAGGATTAGCATCCCAGGACCAACTCAAAGTAGAATTTCTGTTTCAAGTTTTCTGGGACCACATTCAGGCCCTGAACCCACATGAAGACCAGCTTATGGTTATGAATTCTCAAGGGAAATATATGAATATAAATATATATATTTATCCTGTGTGAGAGTTAAAACAAATAAATTTCCTTACTATTCCCTTCTGCAGGGTGTTTCTTTTTCCCTCTCCCCCACTTTTTTTTCTCTCCCCCTTTCTTCCCCTTTCCTCCCTCTCTCTTCCCTCTCTTTCTTAAGTTTAGTCCTTTACTGAGGGCACTAGAGCCCAGGGACGGGCGAGTGTTTGTGAAGGGCCACATACGGGGCCTTGCGGACCCCACAGTCTTTGTCACAGTTACTCTTCTCTGCTGCTTCTGTGCAGAAGCGGCCACAGACGATACGGAAGCAAATGGGCATGGCTGTGTTACAGTAAAACCTGAGGTGTGGACACTGAAGCTTGAATTTCACATAATTTTCACATGTCACAAAATCTTATTCTCCTTTTGACTTCTTTTCAACCCCCAAATTGTAAAAGCTACTCTTAGCTTACGGGCTATACGGCAACAGGAGGTGAGCCAGGTTTGGCCCACAAGCCATAGTTCCTTCCTTCCTTCCTTCCTTCCTTCCTTCCTTCCTTCCTTCCTCTCTCTTTCTCTCTCTCTCTCTCTCTTTCTCTCTCTCTCTCTTTCTTTCTTTCTCTTTCTTTCTTTCTCTTTCTTTCTCTTTCTTTCTCTTTCTTTCTTCCTTTCTTCCTTTCTTCCTTTCTTCCTTCCTTCCTTCCTTCCTTCCTTCCTTCCTTCCTTCCTTTCTTTCTTTCTTCCTTTCTTTCTTTCTTTCTTTTCTTTCTTTTCTTTCTTTTCTTTCTTTCTTTCTCTCTCTCTCTTTCTTTCTTTCACAATTTGATGTATTTTGATAGATGTGTACACCCAAAGCCATGTTTCTTTATCCCTGCTTTAGCCCTTTGGAGGTTCAGTCTTATGTGGGAATCTCCTGTCGGACTCACCACCTTTTGTCTTCTGTTTCCTCTCCCCACATAGCCATAAAATGAACTTCAAGGTTATTAGGTAAAGCAAATGCCTCCAGTAGAAAGCCAGTTCTGTGCTCATTTATCTCTTTAGATCACAAGTCTTGTTTTGATTGTGACTCCCATGAAATTATTTTTCTGCTGGCTCAGTGATACATTAAAATATACACTTAATATTTTACCAGGTATTTTTTGCTGTTTTGTAGCTGGAGGGTTCAGAGATCTTGTTTGTCATATTTCTGGAAATGGAAGTTGACCTGTCTTGTGTGTATTTGTGATTTGATTATTACAAGGCAGACTTGTTTGGCAAGATGGTAGCCGGAAACTTGCTTCTTTTTAGAATTATGTGCTTGAAATTATAGTAGGTACTTGAAAATATTTATCGAATGACCTGTGTCCAGAGGAGTTCAGTTTTCCAGCAAGAATCAGGCATACCACCCACTGAAAACCCCACAGGTAAAAGAAGCTATACAACTTCTGAATGATGAGTTACCACTGACGTAGCCTTGGTTTCTGTGGGAGAACTGACCATCTCGTGGCCACACCTGAGTCATGAGAGGGCCTCTGCTCTCTCTTCTTTTCTTCTCAATCCCCCTGACTTCTGATTGTCTGACTTTGTGATCTCCCTACTGATTGAAAGGGTTGACCACCCTCATAACACTTGAGAGTCTATTAGTTTTCTTTTTTTTAATATGAATAGAAATCTCCTTTATTCTCTTCCTTTACCCCCTCTATATGAGCAAATGTAGAAGAGAGTCTGTTTGTTTTAACAGTGACTGCCTTCTAGAATCCTAGGAATTAGATAAACTCTTAGGGGTCAGATTCTCCATTCTTCCATCTAGTGCCTGAATCCCCTTTAACAGCAGTGATAGTGGATACTTGCTGAGTTTTTCCCCATGCCAAGTGCTATTCACATTATTTCAGATAGCCTACACCACCACCTAGTTAGGAAACTGAGACTTAGAGAAGTCACTCAGGGTTACCTGGCTAATAAGTGGTAGAGCAGGGATTAACCATTTCTCAACATCTTCCCTTCCAAGGGTTACTTAGCTTCTGTTGTAGTCCATCAAGGCTGCCCACTTATTTTTAGATAAATCTAGTTTTTAGAAAATTATTCCTTGGTTGAGCCAAAATCTATTACCTGAAACAAAGGCTGAAACAAGTCAGCCTTAGATTTGCTTGAAATACCTCACCAACGTGGCTACTTTCCTCTAGTCATGTTACACATCACTCATGAACCAGTGTCCACAGTCTAACCAGCAACCCTTGACTGTTACTTCCTGGACATCACAGAATTAGCTCTTCTGGTAGCCATAACACACTTCTAACTCATATTGAGCTAATAAGTCAGTTTTCTTTCACCACTTACTACTATTGAAATCCATCTTTCCCATATTCTCACAGTTGGATTTTTGAACCAGAGTGTACAATTTGATGTTTCCAACTGTTCTATGACTGTGACATTGTTGATTGCTGTTTTTAAGTACCTTAACAGTCCAGTAGCTGAAATGTGATTGATTCAAGCACTGTTGAGTACTTACTGTGTGCCTGGCACACTGCTGAGTGTTGAGGATACAGCAGAGAGCAAAGGAGACACAGTTCTCCGTGTTGTAAAGTCTGAAGTCCTGGGGGAAGCTTAAAGTCTTGGGGGAAGGTAGGTATTAAACAAAGTTAATACATAAATGAGTAAGTGATTGTGGAAGTTCTATGAAGAAAAAGAACCAGGTGTGAGAAGAAGAGTAACAAGGGGGACCGTTTTGAGTCTAAGGTCTGGGAAGGTGTCTCTGACGATGTGTCATTAAGCCGCGAGAGACGGTGGGTGGGAAGAGCGGTCCAGGGAGAAGGAAAGCATGAGTAAAGACCTTAAGGTCTGGAGATGTGTGGTGTGCTCAAGGACCTGAAGGAGGCCAGTGCAGCCAGAGTGTAGCGAGGGATGGGAAGCTGCACAAGAAGATGCTGGCAGCGGGTGAAACACTAGCGGCATCCCCACTCCGTGAGCACGTAACTACAGACTCGTAAACACGTTAAAGGAAAGGTGATGATGAGATAGCTGTTACATACTGAATGCTTTCTGTGTGCTGAGCACCACTTAAAGGGCTTCACATGCTTTGCTTCACTCCTCCATGCATCCCTAAGAGGACAGTGTTGTTATCCCCATTTTTATAGATGGGGAAACTGAGACATGGAGATGTGATAGAAATTAACTGAGGTCACATGGGTAGTGTTGGATTAAAGGCTATAACCCAGGCAGCCTGGCTCCAGAGCCTGGCGCCACCATCCTGAGATCCTAATATAGGGGCTGGATTAGTCTGGGAGGTCAGGGAAGGCTTTGGTCACTGGTGGACCTCTGGGAGTACCAGGATGCCCCATCCTAATGCTCTTGTCTAGTGCAAGAGACATGCTAGCCAGGCTTGGCCTGGTTTTTCAGGAGGCTGACCCTACCACCCTGTGCAGGGGACAGTGGGCAGTGAAGAGCAAGTCTGCCACCTTGGTTCACTGTTAGAACCACCAACCGTGATGTGGTTGCTTTAAAATAACAGATACTGGTACCCTACATTAGGGACAGTTGCACTTTAGAAAACACTTACACATGTATTGTGTCTTTTTTTTTATAAATCTCATTGGATTCTCATAAAATTTGATGAGGTAGGCAAGGCAGGGATTATCAGCCTCACCTCGCAGATGAGGAAGCAGGCTTAGCAAGACCCCAGGGTCGCACAGCTGGTGGGCAGTAGACTTCTCACAAGATCCCAGTGCTCCTTCTGCCTCCTCTGCCTCCTCTCCTCGCCTGCTTGGCTCTCATAGTGTTTCCTTCACGTAACCAGGACAGAGAGCGCTCCTGGCACCAACAGGAACTGGGTGAGGCCCTGGAGAGCCTGGAGAGGGAGAAAACGGAGCTGGAAACGAGGCTGAGGGAGCAGCGGGCAGAAACAGAGGCCGTGCGGACGCTGAGGGAACAAGAACGGGCCGAGGCCGAGAGTGCCCTGTCCCAGGTGGGAAGCTGGACGGACTGGGCTGCACGTCAAACCCGTGCCCCTGCCACATTTGACCACTTCCTTTCCCACACCCAAGAGTGGTGCTGCAGGAGCTTTTGGAAGACAATGTAGCCACCCACTTTGCTGCCTGTGAGCAGGTGATCAGCACCGTTAGCTTCAGGGCCAGCTGTATGTCGTACTTCCTGAGGGAGGGCTGACGTTTACCACATCCTGTCAGCTTGCAAACCGGTGGCAATCTTCGCACTTCCTGGTTCTCAGTCAGTGGGTCCAGACCTTCCTTTGCCCACAGCCCCCACCCCACTTGCCAGAAAAGCCCTAGAGCAGCGGGTGTGTGCTTGCAGCCTAGGGGGGGAACATGGTGACCCCTGACTCAACAAGCCCTTGCCCTCCTGCCCCTCCGCAGATGCAACTCGAAACAGAGAAGGAGAGGGTGTCCCTCCTGGAGACACTGCTGCAGACCCAGAAGGAGCTGGCAGATGCCAGCCAACAACTGGAGCGGCTGAGGCAGGACATGAAGGTTCAGAAGTTAAAGGAGCAGGTATGGAGGGTGGTCCTGGGCAAGGAGGAAAAGGGAGCATCGATTTACTCAGTCATCACTTATCTGTTCTTTGGCACTTCTTTGCACCAGGCTCTGGGCTAGGTGCTGACACTTGACCAACAGAAAGGTGTGGCACAACAGTGAACGTGACAGTCAGGGTCTGTGCCCTCCCAGAGCTTCTGTTTTAGCGACAGAGCAGACACAAAATAAGTGAGATAATTACAGGTTGTGATAAGTGCTGTGAAAGAAATGAATAGGATGATATAACTGAGAGTGATTCAAAGGAGGCCACTCTGGATAAGGTGATCAGGGAGGGCCTCACTGAGAAAGTGACATTTGAGCTGAGCCATTAAGGTTAAAAAGAGCCAGGCCCATAGAACAATAGAAATGATCCTTGAAAGCATATGCTAAGTGAAAGAAGCCAGTTAAAGAGGCCACACAGTGTATGATCCCACTTATAGGAAATACCCAGAACAGACAAATCTAGAAAGACAGTAGGTGAGGGGTTGGGAGTGAGGGTGGGGTGTAGGGAGGGAACAAGGTTTCTTTCTAGGGTGATGACAGTGTTTTAAAATTGATCGTGGTGACAGTTGCACAACTCTGTGAATAACTAAAAACCATTGAATTGTATGTTTTAAATGGGTAAATTGTAGGGTCTGTGAACTTGAATCTCAATAAAACTGTTAAAAAGAAAAGAAGCCAGACATTTGAAGAACAGCTTAGGCAGAGGAAATAGGACAAGCTCATGTCGTAAGGGCCTGGGATGAGCAGAAAGGGCCTGGGACAGTTTTGAACAGATAGGAGGCAGGAGCCCTTTGTCAGCCATGGTAGGAGCTTGGATTTTGTTCTAAGGGCAGAGGGAAAGTGTGGGGTGGTATTTAAAAAGCAGAGTGGGACATGTTTTCTCATATATATATACATATATTTTTAGTAGTTAGTTTCTGAGTGGAGAATTGTGCATGTGGGCGTGGTGGCGTGAAGTGAAAGTAGGGGCAACCAGCAGGAGGCTGTAGCCGTGCTCTAGGTAAGGGACCCTGACTGAGAAAGCCTGGGTGGGCCAGTGCCCTTGATGAGGGAAGAGAGCGAACAGGAAGTGAGGAGTCCAGGTGGTAGGGCATCATGAAAACAACATGAATAGCTAGGCCCTGCCTCAGCTTTTGCCAACCCAACTGAAAAACTAGTATTTATGCAACATGAGTTTCTGCAACGTGGATTTCAAGACCAAAGCCCCAGTGGAAGTTTTCCTCTACTACCTGCTGTCTTCTCCCTCCGCAGGAGACCACTGGGATGCTGCAGACCCAGCTCCGGGAGGCTCAGCAGGAGCTGGAGAAGGCAGCTCAGCAGCACCGGGACCGCCTCGCTGCCCTCCAGGACGAGGGCCACATCTTGCTGCAGGATAAGATAGACCTGCTGAAGCAGGTCTCTCCTCCCCTCTCCTGACCCACAGCCCTGCCCTCGCACAGCCAGGCTTTCCCACTCCCTCCTACAGGATGAGGGGAGCCTTGAGCTTGGGGGAAGGAGGCCCCAGTACTTAGTGGAAGAGTGAGGCGTGCTCTGAGCACATGCTTCCCAGAGCCCTGGAATAGTTAGTAACCTCTATCAGTAGTGACCACAGACCTCAGATTTTCCTGGGCAGCCGAGTGTCAGTTGTTCTTCCTCCCCGTAGAGCCAATATTTTTATATGACAGATTTCTTATTCTAATTGCTTTTCCTCCTCAGAATCCTGTATAAGATGGTGTGCAAATTGCTTATTTCAAAAAATATATACCCTTGTCTGTCGCTTGGCCTTTGGACAGAGCTGTATTCAGCCAAGATTTTTATTTGTACCTGCCTTTATACAGCATATGTGAGGTTGGGGAGACAGGTGTCTAGGCTGAATGGTATTGAGGGAGGGTGGTGGTTAAGAACAGCATGTAAGGGTTGGCAGAACCTCTAGAGCTTTGGAAATGGGCTGGTGACCATTATGGTAAACCTAGAAGGATCCTAAAGCCCTAGGTGGGAAGCATCCTCGCACCAGCCTCCTGCCCTTGGTCCTCATGCCCTTGACTTTCCAGGTGGAAGACTTGAAGTCTCAGCTGGTTTCCAAGGATGACTCCCAGAGGCTGGTGGACCAGGAGGTTCAAAAGAAGCTGAGAGAGGCCCAGGAGTGTAGCCGAATTCAGAAGGAGCTGGAGAGAGAGAAAGCCAGGTAAGCTAGACAGGCTATGAAGTTGGTTTTTGCCTTTCTGTATCCAGGGGTCATGGTGAGGTTGACAATTCTTTGCTCAGATCACCTAGCCTCTCATGTCTCCAGCTCTGGGCTGTACAAGCAGCTGTGTGGAGAGGGCGTGGTCCCTGTCTTTAAAGCTCACACTTCATTCATTTAGTAAATATTTAGAGAATACACATCATATACCAGACACTATGCCAGGGGTTGGGGATATAGCGATAAACAAGACAGTACGTTCTCTGCCTCAATAGAAGTTATAGTTTTGTGGGGAAGACGTTAATTAAATAATCACCAAAGTAAATTATTGGAGACTATGTTACCTGGTATAGAAGAAAGAAACAAGATAGGGGGTGGAAATCTATTTTAGGTAGGATGTTAGGGAAGGTATTTCTCAGGAGGTTGCTTTTAGACTGACCACTGAAAGATGAAATGGAGCCAGCCATGCAAAGGGGTGGGGGAGTTCAAGCAGTGGGAATAGGAATTGTGTGGAAAGGCTCAGAGGTGAATCAAAGCTGGGGGTGTTTGGTGAAACTGAACATGCTATGTGACTGGAGCCAGACGAGCCTGTATCATTCAGGACTTTCAGGCCACAGCCAGGAGCTTGTCTATTTTAGGTTTAGTCGGAAACCATTGGAGGGTTTTCAGTAGGGAAATCGACACAAGCCAATTTATGGAGAATTAGAAGAGATCGTCATGACATGAAAACTCAGGCATGAGATGAGACCACTCAAAATGCAGGGCAGCGTCTCTTCTTGGTGCTTTCAGAGTCTGAGGAGGAGAAATCCTTGTGTTGATGAAACTAGACGCAGGAAGACAAGGTAGGAGGTAGACAGTTGTCTAGATAAGAGATACTAAAACTGGACAGAAGTCGGGTAGTGGGGAAGGCAGGGAGGGAAGGGGTTTAAGGGTCATCAGGGGAGCTGGAATCTGTTATATGTAGTCTTAGAGTAAATATAAGTGGGATGGAGGGAGACCACTGTGACAAGGTCAAGGCTTCTAAACTGAGGCCCTGGGTGGATGGAGGTGCCATTCACTGAGTTAGGAAACATAGTAGGGATGACTGTGGAGAGGGAGGTACAGAGGGAATGGGCAGAATTGGACATGTTGAATTCGAGGTATTATATAGATATTTCCAGAATTTGCCAGAGAAGAATATACTGAAGTTGAAATGAGATATCATCTGTGTGAAGGATCTGGGAGCACTTAGTAGGTGCTCAATAAATGGAGGCTTTTATTGTTACACTGTAATCATTATTGTTACTCTTTCTATTTTAATTATTAATGCTGTGTCAGAGCAGTCAGATGAGAAGGTAGTTCTTCTTTCCCTGAGAGAATGCATAGCCCTCTGACCTCTCTCTTTTCAGCCTGACACTGTCGCTGGTGGAGAAAGAACAGAGACTCCTTGTTTTACAAGAAGCTGACTCTGTTCGACAACAAGAGCTGAGCTCCCTGCGCCAGGACATGCAGGAGGCCCAGGCAGGGCAGAAAGAGCTCAGTGCCCAGGTATTTCCACTCCACTAGGAGCCCTCTTCCTTGATGGAAGCCTGCTCCTGGATTCGGGGGAGGTGATTGCTCAGTTATGCTGGGACATCAGCTGCCCCAGCAGGAGGAGAAGCCAGGACTGGGCGGGGTGGCACTTGGGAACCTGACCCAGAGTTGAGAATAACCCGGAACATAGTGCCCACAGGGACAGAGCTCATGCAGGCCTGGTTCAAGCACGGCCACTGCCAGGTGTGCCTGGGCTGCTTGGCAGGACTCAGCACGGGGACAAGTATTACTCCACATCATGTAGGCGGCAGTAAGGGAATTTCCAGGGATTCGGTCTGCACACAGCAGAACCCCAGACCTTGTGTACAGAGGAGAATTGAAACCAGGAGGGGAAGAATGAGGGGGTAAGAGCTGGACAGTAGACTTACAGATGAGGACCCAGGTCTGGGTGTTAAACCATCCTGGTGTGACTCCCAACTCTCCTCCTTCCTGGTTGTGTGAACATCACTTTATTCATCCATAAAATAAGGATGATAATTCTTAACCATCAGGAACACAGTAAGCATTCAATAAATGGTGACCATTATTATTGTCTTATTAGGTCATTATTATGGTCTTATTAGGCTCAGTGTCAGGGTTTCAGGCAGAGTTCTAATCATGGCAGGGAGCTGGCAGAGTTGTCAGGGGGACTAGGGCCAGAGCCCATGTGCATAGCCTAGGTCCACGTGTTAGGAGTCAGTAGGTAGGCATGCAGGTCCAACCTAGGGTAACATTCATTCCAGAGATCTCTACCTGCTGGAGAGCTGAGTCTACTGAAATCTTTCCAGCCCCAGTCAAGGTTTGCAATGGGATTGAGTGGGGTGAGGCCTGGGAGGGTCCAAGGAGAGGGTATTCACTTCCTGCTCAGAGTGACCATACTTCCTCCCTGGCAGGTGGACTTACTGAAGCAGGAGGTGAAGGAAAAGGAGGCTGACTTTCTGGCCCAGGAAGCACAGCTGCTGGAGGAGCTCGAGGCATCTCAAGTAACAGAGCAGCAGCTACGGGCTTCCTTGTGGGCCCAGGAAGCCAAGGCAGCCCAACTCCAGCTGCGACTGCGCAGCCTAGAGAGCCAGCTGGAGGCGCTGGCTGCAGAGCAGCAGCCTGGGCACCAGGCCCAGGCCCAGCTGGCCAGCCTCTGTTCTGTCCTGCAGCAGGCCCTGGGGTCTGCTTGTGAGAGCAGGCCAGAGCTGAGTGGCGGGGGAGACTCTGCTCCCTCCCTCTGGGGCCCTGAGCCAGGTGAGGCAGCCACTCAGGAACTTTGGTCAAAGCCAGACCCAGCTCCCAGGGGAGAAGGAGGGGGACTGCAGTTCCTTAGGCAATACTGCATCAAGGCTAAGCTCACAGACTCTGCAGTTAATTCAATCAGAGTTTGAACCCCAGCTCTGCCATTAGCTAGAGGTATGTTCTTGAGCAAGTCACCTCTCCTCTCTGAGCTTGATTTTCTCAACTATAAAATGAGGGTGATAAAAGTACCCACCTCTCAGGATTTTTCTAAGGAGTTGTTGAGAGGATAGACATAAAATCACTCATACAGTTCCTTGCACTTATTAAATGCCTAACAGATGATAGCTGGCATTACCTAGAGCCCATCACGGTGCCTGGCACACAGGTACGCAGACAGTGTACAATGAGTGAACTGCTGAGAAGGGGTTCTTTAAGGAGAGATGGGAAGGGTGGGAAGGCCAAGGCCATGTCTGGGAGGTATGGCTCTTTCTTTTCATAGTGCAGCCAGGTCACTAGGTATTTCCTCATTTTTTTCAGACCAGAATGGAGCCAGGATCCTCTTTAAGAGAGGGCCCCTCCTGACGGCTCTCTCAGCTGAGGCAGTGGCATCTGCCCTCCACAAGCTTCACCAAGACCTGCGGAAGACTCAACAGGCCCGGGTACGTGTCTCTGCTCTCCCTCCTTGAACTCTTCACTTTCCCCGAGAGAGGCTTGTGAAGCAGTTTGACCTGTTTTATTCCTGACATCAAGTTGGGATGAGTTCCACCTCTGTCACTTACTACTTGGCAACCACGGATAAAGAATCTGGTTTCCTAGGTCTTGGTTTCGCTCATAAAGTAGGCAAATCATGACTGCCTCACAGGGCTGTGAAGATTAAATGAGTGAGGGTCTTAAGTGAGCCCTGTAAACCATGACACCCTGTACAGGTGTATGGTATTGTTTTGCATCATTTTCCTCTCAGCCGTGAATTATTCTTGGTGCCAAGACCTCCAAGAAAAAAACAACAAATTGGGGATCACTGAGGTTACCATTTATAAGAACATTCTAGGCCCAAGACTGAACTAAGTGTCCAGCAAATTCCACCTCACGGTGAACCTATAAATCAGTAGAAACTGAGCACCACCTGTATGCCAGCCCCTCTGAGCTAGGGAGGCAAAAGGGAGAAAGAGCTGCTGTCTGTCCTTAAGAAGGCTCGTGACATGGCTGAGCAACCAAACTGCATCCTAAAATAAATCAGAACTGATAGAATGAATTGGCTCAATAACAGGTGCAAATCATGGTAACAGGAGGAAGGGACAATGCATTTTGACTTGGGGAGGGTCAGAAGGGAGGAAGCAGTGACCTTTGAACTAAGGTTTAAAGTAAGAGTTGAGGGAGAGGAGAGGCAGCCCTGGGCTGAGACTTCAGCAGGAAGTCCATCTCAAAAGACAGGCGGGTCAGAAGGGGAACCTAGGCTCCAGTTACTTGGAGCAGAGCCTGTCATCACTTCCAGGAGCCAAATACACATGAGTTCGGAGGTAAATAATCCAGCAATCTGGGGGTAGGTCCACAATGGCAGAGCCCGACAGAGGTACTGAGAGGGAGGAGAGGGCTCGGGCCCTGGACCTAGGTAGCTTTGTGGAAGATAAGGAACTTGAATTCCACTCCTTTCCCAGGATGATCTGAGGGATCAGGCCCAGAAGCTGGAACAGCGTCTCACTGATACAGAGGCTGAGAAGAGCCAGGTCCACACAGAGTTGCAGGCTCTGCAGAGACAGCTTTCCCAGAACCAGGAAGGTGAGAAGCTCAGGACAAGATGGGGATTTGTGGGGAGGAGAGAGGAAAGGCAGGAAGCCCAGAAGGGCAGGATCAGGCCTAGCAGCCACTCTTTACTGCTTACCCACAACTGTGAGACGATACCCAGAGGCATCTTTAGAGGGGCGTTGACCCCAATAAACTATTTTTCTGCTTTCCTTGGCCTTTGAGGGCCATCCTGGATGAAGGGATTAGGAGGAACAGATTTGATGAACTGAGGGAAGTCGCTAGCTAGGCCTTCGTTTTTTTTGTTGTTGTTGTTTTCTGTCTACAGATTAAAAAACTGGCATCCTAAGGCCAGGCTTATGAGAACACTATGAAACTTCTGTATCTTTTATTATTTATCAACATTATTTTGTCATCCCCAACTGTGTTCTCAAAATGATTGACCTTTCACAGCAGAAGGATTATGAGCTCGTTTGAAAGATGGGAAGGAGGAGGAATCTGCCAGCCATGGGCTAGAAAGGGTGGTGACTATTTGGAAAGGAAAGGAGAAGGGAGGGTCTTTAGGGTCAAGGCTCTACTACAGAGAAGAGGACAACTTGGGGAGTGGGTCTGGGTCTTGAAAGTATCCAAAAGCGCTGCCTGAGAGCCACACACATAAAGCTGCAGAAATGGAGGGCACCCAGCCAACCTTGGTCTCTAGGAACCTCTGCAAAATCATAGAATTGGGGCCTGGCAAGGACCTCCGATGCCATCGCTCTCAGCCCTGTTTGGAATCCAGGGTTGAGCATAATGAGGAAGTGTTGGGCTGGAGCTGGGCAGCAGATACATGTGTTTGGAAGAAGCAGGGAGCCTAGACAAACAGGAGCAGCTGGCAGATGGGTGATGTCTCTGTGAAACTAGATGTAATCCTCTCCTTCTTGGCCTTTTCCCCCTTTGACTCTGTTCCCCATCTTGCATCTGCCTCTACATCCCTCCTTTCCTCCACCCCCAATCATGGGCCTTGCTCTGCTACCTCTCTTCTTCCCAAAGAGAAATCCAAGTGGGAAGTAAAACAGAACTCCCTAGAGTCTGAGCTGATGGAACTGCGTGAAACTGTGGCATCCTTACAGAGTCGCCTACAGCAAGCAGAGCTGCAGGGAATAGAAGCCCAGGTAAGGTGGTACTTGTTTAGGGGACGAGGTTGCTTCAGGAAGTGTCTCAGGGCCCAGGCTCTAGCTCCTAGGCCCGGGTTGGCCCATGCTCATACTCCATCCATAGGTAGTGCCCAACTTTCTTCAGCAAGTGTCTCAGTTTCTCTGGCTCTCTCCACGTCCCAGAGGGCCATTATTAAGGCCTCAGTGAATCCTCCTTCAATTACTTTTTTCTGAATTGAGGTTGAGATTTTTGTCCCTTACCCTGAAGGACTAGAGTCTAGGATGGCTCGTTTGCACCAGGCCTTCCCTTCTGAGCACAGCAGAGCCTAGGTTGTGGTAGGCGTGTTCTTTTATAGTATCAGGCTAGGTGGAATGCTCAGTTCCTTTTGCCCAAATCTTTTACAGCACTGGTGCCACAGAGGAAGGAGAGGAAGGGCCTGTGCTGGAGTGACAGATTCAGGAAAGTGTCGTCTAAGGTGGTTTTGCATCTTGTTTTCCAGAATGAGCGAGAGTTACTGCAGGCAGCCAAGGAGAGCCTGACTGCCCAGGTGGAACATCTCCAAGCATCTGTTGCAGAAGCCAGGGCACAAGCGAGTGCCACCAGGATCCTGGAGGAAGACCTGAGGATTGCACGCTCAGCCCTGAAACTGAAAAACGAGGAGGTGGAGAGTGAGCGCGAGCGAGCCCAAGCCTTGCAGGAGCAGGGCGAGCTGAGGGTGGCTCAGGGGAAGGCTCTGCAGGAGAATTTGGCTCTCTTGGCCCAGACCTTGTCTGAAAGAGAACAGGAGGTGGAGACTCTACAGGGGAAAATCCAGGAAGTGGAGAAGCAGCGGGAAATGCAAAAGGCTGCTTTGGAAGTGCTGTCTCTAGACCTAAAGAAGAGGAACCAAGAGGTGGATCTGCAGCAAGAACAGATTCAGGAACTGGAGGAGTGTAGGTCGGTTTTAGAGCATCTCCCCTTGGCCGTTCAGGAGCGAGAGCAGAAGCTGACTCTGCAGAGGGAGCAGATCAAAGAGCTCGAGAAGGATCAAGAGACACAGAGGAACATCTTAGAGCATCAGCTTCTAGAACTTGAGAAGAAGGCCCAAATGATTGAGTCCCAGAAGGAACAGATTCAGGATCTGAAGAAGCAGCTGGTTACCCTAGAATGCCTGGCCCTGGAACTAGAGGAAAACCATCACAAAATGGAGTGCCAGCAGAAGACGATTGAAGAGCTGGAGGGCCAGAGGGAAATGCAGAGGGTGGCTCTGACCCACCTTACGCTGGACCTGGAGGAAAGGAGCCAGGAGCTGCAGGTGCAGGGCAGCCAGATCCATGAGCTGGAGAGCCACAGCACCCTCCTGGCAAGAGAGCTCCAGGAGAAGGACCAGGAGGTGACATCCCAGCGAGACCAGATCGAGGAGCTGCAGAGGCAGAAAGAGAGTCTGACTCAGGACCTTGAGAGGAGGGATCAGGAGATGGTGCTGCTGAAGGAGAGGATCCAGGTCCTAGAAGATCAGAGGACCCTGCAGACCAAGATCCTAGAGGAGGATCTGGAACAGATCAAGCTGGCCTTGAGAGAGCGAGGCCGGGAGCTGGCCTCTCAGAAGCAGCTGATGCAGGAGAGGGCAGAGGAGGGGAAGGGCCAGAGTAAAGCTCAGCGTGGGAGCCTGGAGCACATGAAGCTGATCTTGCGTGATAAGGAGAAGGAGGTGGAGTGCCAGCAGGAGCATATCCAGGAGCTTCAGGAGCACAGGGACCAGCTGGAGCAGCAGCTCCAGGGCCTACACAGGAAGGTGGGTGAGACCAGCCTACTCCTGACCCAGCGGGAGCAGGAGATCGAGGTCCTGCAGCGGCACCTGCAAGAAGCCAGGGAACAGGGGGAGCTGAAAGAGCAGTCACTTCAGGGTCAGCTGGAAGAGGCCCAGAGGGCCCTGGCCCAGAGGGCCCAGCAGCTCGAGGCTCTTCAGCAGCAGCAGCAGCAGGCCCAGGGGCAGGAGGAGACGGTGAAGGAAAAGGCAGGTGCACTGCAGAGAGCTCTGGAGCAGGCCCAGGCGGCACTGCAAGAGCAGCAGGCAGAGTTTGAGGACCACAAGGAACATGCACGAAGGCTCCAGGAGGAGCTGGCTATGGAGGGGCAGCGGGTACAGGCCCTGGAGGAGGTGTTGGGTGACCTAAGGGCTGAGTCTCGGGAGCAGGAGAAGGCTCTGCTGGCCCTCCAGCAGCAGTGTGCTGAGCAGGCCCAGGAGCACGAGGCAGAGGCCAGGGCCCTGCAGGACAGCTGGCTGCAAGCAGAGGCAGTGCTCAAGGAACGGGACCAGGAGCTGGAGGCCCTGCGGGCAGATGGCCAGTCCGCGCAGCATCGGGAGGAGGCTGCGCGGGGCCAGGCTGAGGCTCTGCAGGAGGCCCTCAGCAAGGCTCAGGCTGCCCTGCAGGAGAAAGAGCAGCATCTCCTTGGGCAGGCGGAACTGAGCCGCAACCTGGAGGCCAGCACAGCCACCTTGCAGGCTGCCCTGGACTCCTGCCAGGCACAAGCCCGGCAGCTGAAGGAGGCCCTGAGGAAGCAGGAAGGTGAGATCCAGGACCGGGACCTTCGACACCAGGAGACTGTGCAGCAGCTCCAGCAGGCACTTGTCCAGAGGGATGAAGAGCTGAGACGTCAGAGGAAGCAGGGGCAGCTGCTGGAGAAGTCTCTGGCCCAGAGGGGCCAAGAGGATGTGACCCCAGAGAAGCAGGAGCCATGGCACAAGAGAGAAGAGGAAGAGCTGAGGGACCTTCGTGAGAGCCTGAGGAAGCTCCAGCAGACTCTAGCCCAAAAGGAGGAGGAGATCTTGGAGCTGAGGGAGGTCCAGCAAAGGAAGAGTCTGGAGGACTCGCCCCACAGCCACAAAGCCTCCTCAGCGGAGGAGCCATCTACAACAGTTGATTCCTCAGGGCCCAGGCTGCAGCGGGAGCTGGAGCGTCTCGAGGCAGCCCTGAGACAGACGGAGGCCAGGGAGATCGAGTGGAGGGAGAAAGCCCAGGACCTGGCGCTGTCCTTGGCCCAGAGCAAGGCCAGTGTCAGCAGCCTGCAGGAGGTAGCCCTGTGCCTGCAAGCCTCTGTCCTGGAGCGGGACTCGGAAAAGCAGAGGTTGCGGGTGAGTCACTCTGCGGGTAGTGCGGGGGTAGAGCCTGGTCTGCCTGGGCTTGTGGCTGTCTACACCTCAGGGTGTGAGAAAGCTGAGGTCATGAGCACCTCAACATAGTGGGACCCAGGTTACTGGGCAAGTGTAGAGGGGTTCGAACAGAGTAAGACACCCACAGTCTTGGTCCTCATGGAGCTCACAGTCTCGTGGAAAAGCACTTACAATGCAGTGCCTAGTTACTATTGGTGCTGAATAGGGGAAGTTTAGTGTGCTCTGAGCATACTAGAGGGACACCTGACCTTTCCTGGGGGTGGGTCCCAAGAGGCTTCTGGTAAAAGTGGTGTTTGAGATTAGATCTGGAGGGACCAGTAAGGAAGTAGCCAAGCACATGTGAGGGAGGAGAAAGAGGAAAAGGAAGGAGAGAGCATGGAGTATCTGTGAGGGAATTCAGGCTGCTTGGGACATAGGGTGGGGCATTGGCAAGAGAAGAGAGGACAGCAAGGGGCCCATCATTTAGGGCTTGTCAGCTTGCTAAGGAGCTGGTTGAGTAGTGGGAAGTGGATGAAGGATTTGGGGCAGGGGAGTGACACAGTCAGATATATATAATTCAGAAAGGTCACTCAGGCTGCTGTGTGGAATAGCTGTAGATCTGGGGAGACCAACTAGGAGGCTGTAATGGAATTCAGTGAGGAGATGGTGACCTGAGATAGGAAATGTGAGTGGAGACATATGAGTGGACCTAGAGGTTCATAGACTTCTGGAAGTTGATTGGCTAAGAGGTGAAGGGAGTAAAGAAAAGATAGAAATCAAAGACAACACCCAGGTTTCTGCTCAGTGGGATAAAGGCAGGTTTGGCCAGAGGAGCAGAATGGTGAATTCATTTTGGAAATGGAATGAGGCACCTGTAGGACATGCAAGGGGCCCTGTCCAGTGGGCAGGTCTGCAAAGCGATCTGAAGTTAAAGGATAACATTGGGGCTAGAGTTAGAGACTTTGGAGTTATTAGTAGTTAGGAAAAGTGGGCTCCTCCAGATAGAATGTTGATTGACAAAGGAAGTGGACATTAGGGTGTAACATTTAACCTTAGGTCGGGGCCATGTCTTGGTTATCTGTACACCCAGCACTGAGCACAAGGTCAGCACACAGTGGACAATCAGGAAAGCTGGGTTGACTATAGGACAAAGAGGGACATTGTCTCTTTTGCCAAGAGGAACCCAACTGATTTTTCCTGGGAAGTTGACTCTATTCTGGCCTCTTGACCCGGGCCGAGCCCCAGAGAACCACTTCCCTCATCTCAGACACACAGCCCTGCAGGGACTTGCCTTCTGGGAAGCCCAAAAGCTCTGCTCTGGGTCAAAGGCAATATGCTGAGAAGGGGTTACATTTATGAACTTTGGAGCCAAGTTCTTGGATTTGAAATACAGTTTTGCAGTTTATTAGCTGTGTGACCGGAGGTAAGTGCCTTTACTTCTCTGACTCTTGGTTTTCTCATTGATAAATACAGAGTGATAGTACCAGCCCCATAGAGCCATTTTGAGTACAAAAGGAGATAATATGAGTAAAATGCACAGGAAAAAGGCATTCAATATGTGGAACCCTTTTCCTGTTTCCAGGCCTGTTCGTACAGGCACAGAAAAAGTCAGATACATAGCTGGGCGGGAGCTTCCTGCCCACACTTCTGGGTTACTGAGCAGTATTTACTCAGTAATGTAGCTCAGGGCAGGGTTCCCCTCTTCCCAAAACACTCAAGGACATCTTTCAGAAACAGCCCTTCATCATAGTGGCATCATTTTTTATTTTAATGCTAGGTACTGTTACTCTTGCTTTCCTCCACAACAACCCCAAGAAATAGGAATCATTATCTTCATTTTATAGTTGAGGAACAGCAGATAAGAGAGGTTAAGTGACTTGTCCTAGGTCACCCAGCTAATAAAGGGCAGAACTAGGACTAGATCTCAGCAGGCTGATTCTGGAGTGTGGCCTCGTACTGCTGAGCGCCTCTCCCAGACGGCCTCCACCCACACGTGTACCGTCCGTTCCTCTTCTCTGTCTCTCATGTGACCACTGCCATTTATGAACCAGAGGGCACCTAGAAACTATCCAGCACTAGTTTCCCCGTTTCTCTAAAGGGGACTTGATCTGTGCTCCATGTAGTCATTTTACAAATGAGGCGGTTAGGATTTGGAGAGAGCTCGTATCTTGACCAAAGTATCAAAGCCAGTAAGTGGTGACATAGTAACTGGCTCTATGTGACTCCTGAGTCCATGCTCTTTCCACAATACCTACTGCTCCAAGTTGTCGCTTAGCTTACAGGAGATCTAAAATGAGACAGGTTTTAGTCCTAGCCCACCACGTGTGCTTAGGAAGATCCCTCTCTGCTCCTTTGTTTTATCTATCTGTGACAATGAAGGTTCTGCACTGGAATAGCTCAGAGTTGCCAGGAAAAATAAAACAACCTGATGAGACCATCAGACTGTTTATTTCTGAGGATGGAAGGTGGAGTGGGTCTGGATATGCGGTTGTCATGGTGTGACTTTGCTGTACACTTTGATACCCAGGATGAGTTGGAGTTCACCAGACAGGCTCTGGAGAAGGAGCGACTCCCCAGCCCAGGCCCAACCAGCAGAGCAGAATGGGAGCCCAGAGAAGAGCCAGGCGTACAGCCGGGAGAGGTGAGCTGGGGGCCTGGTGGGAAAAGATGGCCCAGGAGGGAGATCCTGTCCAGGGGCTTGTCCCCCTTCCCCTGAGAATTGGGTCCCTGAAGCCTAGACCTGCCAGATTAGTCCTTTGCCCTCTCTCTGTTCCCACCTGTCTTAGGGGCTGTCCAGGTGAGATTGACAGGTCTCTCCCACAGGTCTCCGGAGTAAAGACTGAGCCTAGTCCTGAGATGGAGGAGAAGCAGCTATGGGGACAGAGGCTTGAACACCTGCAGGAAGCAGTGGCGCGGCTGGAGATTGACCGGAGCCGGCTGCAGCACCACAACATCCAGCTGCGGACCACCCTGGAGCAGGTCGGTAACTCCTGTCCTCCTGTCCTGAGCTCCCTCTTTGGGTCTGGTGGGTGTGCATATCCGCTTCCAAGGCCTGAGTGGCTGGCCCTGCCTCCTCTGCCCTAGCAGCCTTCTTTGCCCTCAGGGCTGCCCCTGCACGTGCTCTCCTCAGCCCATGTGTTGACTGTTGGCCCTTCCCATTCACACCCGCACTCACGCTGGTCTTCTCTCAAAAAAGGCGGCTCTGCTCCAGCCCGGCAGCCAAGCCAAGCCCTGATTTCTCACTCATGTTTTGGCAGGTGGAGCGAGAGCGGAGGAAACTGAAGAGGGATTCCATGCGTGCATCGCGAACGAGGGTCCCTGAGAGCAATGAAGCCACGGCGCCATCACCCACACAGCAGGTTTATATGTTTCACCGACTGCAGCCTCAGGGGAGCCTAAACCCAGCTACTAGAAATGGCCTGTGCAGTGCATATCCCAGGCTACCCTTGCCAGGGGAGAAGCCACTTCAGCTAGTCCACGGAGCCCCTCCTGGCCAGGTTCTGCCCCACCCAGCTCTGCTCAGTCTGTCCCTGACCCAGGAAGGAGGCCCAACTTCAGTGGGTAGGGATGGATCCAAGGCTGGCAGCCCTGCATCCTGAGGAACCGTTCACTGACGTCCAGTCTACCTGCCCCCAGACCAGTGCTTCAGACTCCCTGGAGCAGGGCTCATGGGGCTTCTGGTCACCTGCGCATGGTGTTGAGTGGTGTTTGCCAGACCTCAGTGTGCCTAAGAGCTTGATAGCAGCTTTGTGGACCTCTTAGACTTCCTTGCCCCTTGCAGTACTGAATTTACAAGATATGGGTCCGTAGTATTTCCTAGGCCCAGAGTCCTTTTTTGGGGTAAGGGTTTGGGGGAAGACTCCCCAAACCAACACTCTTTAAGCTGTTACGCCCATCACTAGACAGCCCTGGGGCCTGGCAGGAAGAGACTGTTTCTGGTGGCTGACCATCTCCCAGCTCCCATCCCCCTTCGTTTAAGGAAAGCTTCCCGAGGGCAGGCCCCTTGTCTTCCTTCCTCTCTGCATCGTTAGCTCACACCCAGGGCTAGCACGAAGCAGGTATGTGGTGTACTTTAAATGAAGAGGTGCCTCAAAGAAGCCAGTGCCAGCCAAGCTTTGGGACTTTCAGTGTCAGGTCTCCACAGGCATTGCCCAGTGGGATGGTTTGGTCCCTCTGGGGAGTCTCCTTGCCCCAGGGCCGTGGTGCCCCATAGAGTTCAATCTGGATTTAGGTAGTTCTGGCCCACAGCCCTTGCCCTGGTCCCCAGGATTGTGAGGAGCCCTGCACAAACCTCAGTGGAAGGCCTGTTCCAATAGGAATGGTATTTGTCTCCCACAGGATGGAAGAGGAGGGCAGAAGTGTTCCTCAGATGCCAAGCAGGTGGTTGAACTGCAGAAGGAGGTATGTTCTGGAAGGATCTACTTTCTAAGCCCCTTTCCCCTCCCGTGTCCTCAGGCAGCAAGGCTTTGGTATCTGCTATGTGCTTGGCCCTTTGTGTACCCCTAGCAGGGAGATGGGAAATAGTTCCTGCCCCAGAGAACTTCAGCCCACGTGGGAGGCAAGAAGAACCCAGTCCCAGCTCAGCCTCCCATATTGAGTGGACTTAACCTCCCATGTGCTTAGGGTGGGAGTGGGGAAGAAAGCACGTACCAGGCCCCAGACCTCTGGGTTCCTACTTAGGAAGAGAAAGGAAAAGGAACAGGGCTGAGGGGCAAACAGAAGATTCTAGGAAGATAGACAAACAAGCAAAAGCATCCTGACCTCTTCTGCCCTCACATGCACCCTTGCAGGCAGGTGCCGTCACTCCAGGCAGAGAAAGCTGGCACCAGCCCCAGGGATTCACACCCCAGAGCTCAGGTCAAGCTCAAGGAAACTGCATAAAGTGCCTTCTTGCCTAAGGGTCAGGCCTCATATAAAGGTTCACCCTATCTTTAAGGGCCCAGGAGTAATTAGAACTGTGGAAATTTTATTTCTGAACCTGTTTCAGAAATCAATAGTCACGACTGGCAGGGCCTAACTATATAGCTAGACCTAAGCCATTACTTTGAATTCTTTTAAGTTCATACAGAGCAATTGCTGAGACCAGGCCTGGACTAGGGTGAGGCAAGAGAGGCAGCGTGGGTGTAGGATTTAAGGAGGCCCTCACAACTGACCTGAAGTGCCTCCTTAAACTTTGCACCCTAGGGGCCTCTCTTGCCTCACCCTAGTCCTGGACCTGCCCTGAGCTCCCAGTAACTTCTCCTCCTGGCAGCCTCGGCATACCCATCTGAGAAATGGAAGGAGCTATCAATGATTTTCAGTCCAGGCTGCACGTTAGAACCCCCTCAGAAACTTTTGAGAAAATGCAGATTTTCAGACCTCAGCTCAGTCTAATTAGGTCAGAATATTTCTTAAAAGCTTCCAGAAGGGGCACTTCTGCAGTGATTAAAATATTCTGTATCTTGATTGAAATGGTGATTACACATGGTGTATTACACATTATCAAATTCATCAAGATGTACACTTACAATCTGTGCGTTTTATTACATGTAAATTACCCCTCCAAAAAGTCGGTGAATAGTTTTGTTGTTGTTTTTAAGCTCCCTCTTTGAGCCTCCTGTGCAGCCAGGGTTGACAATCACTGGATTCTGATTTCCAGGGGCCCCTGCCCCTAACGTTGTAAAGCCTGAGATTCATGGCTGTGGTGGAGTTGATTCAACTCCTGGTCTGACAAGAGCCACAGGGGCAGAGCGGGCAGGGTTGGGGCAACTTCAAGGCCCTCAACTACTCTCTCCCCCAGGTTGCTGTCCTGCGAGCCCAGCTGGCCTTGGAGCGGAAGCAGAAGCAGGACTATATCGCCCGCTCGGTACAGACGAGCCGTGAGCTGGCAGGCCTGCACCACAGCCTTTCTCACTCCCTTCTTGCCGTCGCCCAGACCCCTGAGGCCACTGTCCTGGAGGCCGAGACCCGCAAGCTGGATGAGTCCCTGACTCAAAGTCTGACATCCCCAGGGCCAGTCCTGCTGGGCCCCAGCCCCAGCGCTGCTCAAGCTGCCTCCAGATAGCAGCCACTGCCAGGGCAGGACATGGGACAGCCTGGGAGCACACAGACAGACAGATGTCTGTAGAGCGGGTCATGGCCCCCCACACAGCTGCAGGTTTGCCAAAGAAAGTTCTGGCTCCATTGCCCAACCTGGAGCCCCGGGTCAGATGGCATTCCAGGACGGGGGAGGAAACCGCAAGTCTGCAGGAAGGCCCCAACTCCCAGGGAATGAGGCAAACCCCACTTGCTGCTGGCCTGAGGTCGCCCAGGGGGGCCTTGCCCTGGCCAGGCAGCGTCTGCTGCCTCTCATCTAGAACCCGTTATCCCAGCACTTCGCCCTCTGTCACCTTCCTCTTCAGCAATAAACCCTGAGTCTACGTTTGTTCTCCACTGTGTAGCTGAGCAGCGGCAGCACATCAAAGGCATCTGTCAAGGAAGACTGCTGAAGATTCCCGCCAGGTGGCATGAATTTAGCATCTGCCTGCATTCTGACAGAGGAGGGTCACAGAAGGCACACAAGACAAAGGCCCTTCCACAGGAAGCTTGAGTCCAATTGACAAGAACAGACATGCTCATTGATGAGTCAGAGACAGCTCTGTGTGCCAACTAGAAACGCTGCAGAGATTCCAGGGACCGAGGAAGGAAGACACCCACTGGCCCTTGAAGGACGGGGAGGAGTTGGGAGGGGTTGCTAAGCATACTGGTGAGAAGACTGGTCTGCCTGTGTGTTCAGACTGAGGTTGGACGGGGAGAGAGGGAGATCATGGAGGGCCTTGGGATCTAGACTTGAACTCATGGATAATGAGGAGCCATCATATGTTCTTGACTTAAAACATGTTCTGGGGCTCCAAAAACACCAAGTTGAACCTTTGGCTAAAGTCAGTCTCTTGAGTTCAGAAGCTCTGTCTGGCTTCATTCCCCTTCTGCTTGGGGTTAATGCCCTTGGGGTGTCCCTTCCTGGGCATATCAGCTGGAACTGACTCTGGTCCCCTAAGTCCAGCCATGTGTCAAGGCAGTAAGGAGAATGGACTATGGCAGGACTCGTCACTTATGGCCTGGCCCTTGGTGGACGTGGTTCACAAGCTTCAGACCTATTGCTGGCAACTTCCTCAAAGCCTAAGAGACAACAGTTTTCTTTGAAGGAGCAGGGCATGAACTTCCTCTGGCCCTCTAACCACAATCTGGAATTCCTTTTAGTAAGCCTGGGGATGGAGCTGTGGCCCAGCTAAGAATGAGGGGGTTTGAGAGCAGCACCACAGTCCCCCAGGCCTGCTTCCCCGGGGCTCAGGCCCCATAGTATCCCATCGCACCACACAGTGGGAAAGGGGCTCCGTCCACAACTGCTCGAGCTTTGTTCCCAAAACCCACGTAGGACTCGGCACAGATGCTTTGTAAAAAGTTACAGTGGAAAACCCTCTGGAGCTAAATCTGGGGCCCAGAGGTGCTGGCCAGTCCCTGCCTCTAGTCGGATTCCCTGTGGCTCAGAATCCTTTCCTGGCCTTTTCTATGTAAGAGTTCTCAGGGATAAACAAGGTATCCCTGAGTTTCTTACTTTTTCTGGTTCTCTAGCTTAGAGGCTGACAGAGGGACCTTGTTTTTTACCTTGGAGTTTCTTCTCAGTACCATTATCTGTAGGTCCTAAGCCAAGGCCGTAAGCCCCACATACCTTCTGGGAGCAAGGGCGAGAGCTTCCAGCAGATGAAAGGCATTTTGGAGGCAGCCAAGCAAGGTCTTCATTCAGTAATAAAACTAATCTATATTTGCTCCTCCTCCCCCATCCAACCCTCAAAAGCCCCTCACCCTGACTTGAGACCCCAGGCTAGGGTCTCCCCTCCCCACCAGATATTCAGCTCAAGATTGACTTCAGTTCAAGTGTAGACCACAGTCTTGCTCTCACTCTCTAGCTTGTGGATGATTTTCTGCTCGAACTGCCTAACATACACTTTCTTCGACCAAGAGTAAGCTCATCTGTACAGAGGGTCCCACCAGTAATGGAGCCAGTTGCTCCTCTTGAATCAGCTCTCTCACCAAAGGGAGAGACCTGAATGGGAGAAGTGGGAAGGAAAGAATATGGATCTCCCAGGCAGGACCCGACCTTGCCTCAGGGCATCAGGCCAGAGATTCCTTTCCTTCTCCTTGCCGCATGCAACAGGCCATACCCAGAGCAGTGAATCCAGCAGATGAGAACTGCGCCAGTCCTCATGGATGCCCTTGTGGATGGTGTGATTGATCTCCAGAACCTGGGGGAAAGGTCAGAGCTGAGCACGGAGGTCTCCATCCACATTCCCTCCACCCTGCCCCAGCCTTCTCTTTGATAGAGGTTAGTACAGGCCCCGAAGTCCCAAGAGCAGAGTCACAGTCCAGGCAGTGTTCCTGTTCCTGGGCAGCACTGGGTCTGGTCAGTGTGGCACCCTGTTCTCAACAGCCTCCATGCTTTGCTTGATAGAGCAACAGTTACATCGCAACCTAATTACCTTTGCTCATTTGCCTCCCCACTCGAGACTCGCAGCAGCTTGAAGGCAGAAAAGCTGCCTGGCCCAAAGTAGAGAAGGAAAAGCTGGTGGTATGTGTTGGGGGTGAGGGCAGTGGGGAGGGTACAATCAGACTGCAGAGAGAGGGCAAGAGCAACACTTAGACCAAGAAGTGAGAGCTGTCTACTCCAGCCTGGGGCCTCCACCAGTCACACTGACCGAGGAAAGATGCCCTTTTCCGGCTTGACTCAGGACCACTGCAGCCCACGTTAGATCCGGAGACTTCAGCAGCAGGAGAATGTGGGTGTTCTTGCTAGGTCGTGGGCATTCTCAGGTGCTTTATGTGCAGGGAAGTTCCATTGCCCACATTGTTCTTAGAGCCTAGAAGTGCAGAGATAGGAAAGGGAGTCAGGAAGGCATTCGGGCTCAGCCTCGCAGAGGTCACCACCCTCACCCTCCTGCCCTCCCAGAACGCAGTGTGGAGCTGGTCAATGGTTATCCTGTATTCTGAAGACTTCCCATTCCCGAGTTCTCCACTGAACAGCACAGGATTGGGATGGACTCAAGGTATCGCTGTGGCCTGGGTATCAGCTGGAATAGCTCCTTGGCCAGCTGGAATTGGGTTAGTTTTCCTAGCATTTGTGCCTATGGAGAAGAGACAGACCGCTTACCACTTCACCCCATGTTCTAGCACAGAGAGGAGGCTGGGCCCTATTGATGTAGAGAAAGGGTCCAGGGAGAGGATACAGCCCAGACCCCAGGGCCTCTGGAGACAGGGTGGTCCCCAACTCCATCTGGGTCTTCAGGGCCCCTCTGAAGCTCCAGGCAAAGCAGGCAGACACCCTGCTGGTGGAAGCAGGCTATGCAGATCTGGTACCGTGTGAGCAGCCTCAGAGCATCTGCAGATTTGGGGCCAGCAGCCAAACTTCCAGAAGCACCTGTGGAGGTGGGGATACTTCATCCACAAAAGCAGCAAGGCAACTCCCAGCCTAAGACTGCACGCAGGCTTCATCTCAGCCCATGGTGCTTCGGCAGCTAGTCTGTTTAGTTGTTTGGTCTTAGGACAGATGACACCTCTAGCTGTTTCTCTCACAATACCTCGCCTCCTACCTCCTGTCCCGCTACCCCTGCTCACTCCCAGGGCTGAGGAAGGAAGTAGCTGAGCTCTATGAAAACGCTAGGTCCTGAAGAGCCAGGGAAACGGTGAGGCGAGGCAGGGAGGAGGAAGGAGCAGGCACTCCGAGCAGTGAGATCCCTCTCTTCGATCCTGGGGCAGGGCGGGGGGCCATGCAGGCTTATTCTCCCTGCTCACCACACTTAGAAAGTAGGCAGGGGAGAAGGATGGACAAGAACAAGGGGTCTCAAGGCCCTGGGACCCTGCAGTTTATTCCTCTGCCCTCCCGGGACCAGAGTTTGTCTAGACCCTGATGGAGATGAAGGTGAGGAATGAGGCTTCTCCAGAGAAGAAAGGACTGTGTTCCCTGGTCCCACCCATCTTACCCGACTCACTTACATCAGTGTTCTGTCACAGAGTGGACATTATGACCTCTTTTTCCCTAGTCCTTGGTTATTAATGACACCAACTCTTCATATGCCTTCATAAGGCCTGAAGCTTGGCACAAGTGAGAGGGCTTGGAGGTAAAAAGTTGAGTGGGTCAGGGGTCAGAGGAGAGACGAGTCTCGGCTAAGGCTGTGTGGCTTGCCTGTCTGAGAGTGGGTGCTCTCTATTGCCAGCACATGATCATTTATGGGGAGGCAGGAGGGGATGAGAATTAGTATCAAATTTGGTTCTTCCTGAACTACTACTAGTTAAGATGTGGGAATCAGGGAAGGCTTTTATTCAGTGCCTGATAACACGTACATTGCTCCTGCACGTCCTGTCTTGGTTTCCTGTCATTCTCCTGTCTCTGAATTTTCCAGCCCTACTGGGAGTCTAAGGCTTGTTACTGGCCAAGAGGAGTCCCACATTGGAGCCGGCTGATTTCCTCGCCTTCTGCTGCTGCATGATGCTTGGCAAGTCATGCTGGAGACTTTGGATATAACTCTCTTCCCTATATAAGGGCCGTCTCTTCAGCTTGTCGGCCCAACCCCAGATCGAGAAACCTTGTGGATGAGATCAGGTGGGCTGATTGCTGCCCCCAGCTCCTAATCCTGCTTACATTCATTTGGCAAATACTCATCAAACCTGTGATGAGTCCCAAAGCTCCACGATGCGCACTGAAAGGAGGAGCTCGTCTCCAGGGTAGGTGGAGCCTGGATGTAGATAAATGCTCACTGAATGACCTGGGTGTCAAGAAGACACTGGCTGCTCGTTCTGAGGCCAGGGAAAATGTCCCAGAACATCTTGGAGGAAGAGAGGGCTCGAGGGTCCTTTCAAAGAGTTCCTCAAGCCAACTGTGTACACTGGGTGCGTGGCATCAAGGGCTGCACCAGCAGGTCCCAGGAGTGATGGCAGGCCTTGGAGTTGTCCCAGCTAGCCCGTTCAGGTGAGACCTTTCTGACCAAGGAGCGGAAACCATCAGCCCCAGGTGAGCATCAAAGCAGCCCACGAGCATGAAACCCACTATTAAAGCCTCATTCCTGTCCCATGGGACAATGCACAGGGCAAGTGGCATGCTAAGTCAGACACCAGCTGCTGGGAAAGTAGAAAGGCTGTGGTCGCAGACTGACAGCCTCCCACTGCGCTAGTGGCCTCCATCACTTTCTCAGCCCTCCTCACCACACCTCCCTATAACACTTCAATTCACCTCTCCAGCCACCTGCAAGCCCTGCAGGGTGCTCTGCTAGATGCTGAGGTGGAAGGGGAGAGGTGCCTTCTGGTGTGTCCTGTGGCTGCCCTAGAGGAGAAGGGGTTGGTGCCCAGTGGGGTCTTTTGTGCCAGCCCAGTTGTATCAAGGACCTCACCACACAAGTTACACCATAAGTTTCCGCATGGAGGCTTTGTGAGTAAGACTGCCTTCACCTTGGCGTTCAACCCGGGCTCCAGCTGGCGAGGGAGGGCTTGGAAATCAAGTATGATGGGGATGGGAATGCAAAGGGCAAGAGTACGTGCCAAGGCTGGGGTGATGCATCTCTCAGAGGGTTGCCGTCTATTCCCAACGTAGTAGCTAAGCGCGTGGCAGAGAGGGGAATGGAAGAGCCTTTTGGCCCCTCTTGAGAAACGGACCGACAGGAAAACTTTGTAATGTGGTTAAAAGTAAATTTCTATCCAACCAAACTTTTTAGGAGTCGATTTTCTTTTCATTTATTTAACATGCCCCTAGGGAGGCAGGTGAATGGGCTCTCAGGGATATTTACATGTTGTCAGGTTATGTGTGGTTGTTGGGCGGCTGCAGTAAACACATAGAGGATTTTGTTTAGCAGCTGAAAACTCATTAATGGAAGCTCTACTTACCTTGAACCACTGTTTCTACTAAAAAGGCAAGGTAAACGCTCCCCCTTGTCCCCATTTGATACAATAGTCTCCTCCAATGATTGTTTTTATTTCTCTTTAAGTATTATTATGGACTCAAGGATATTTATATATTCACTGTGAATCGTGACAGTTGCTATTTTTGATGCTCAGATTGTCCCAAATGTGATGTCCAGGTTTTCCTTGTACTTTTGTCTTCCAGATCTGGAATCTTTTAGTGGGAAACAATATTTAGAAAATGAAATCTGCATTCATTCCAGGGTTGATCATTGCTTCTGGGATGTTATGGCTTTTAGACTGTTCAGATGACAGAGCAGAAAATGTACTTTGAACATTATGAGTTCAGGGTGGGGATGGCTGCACAACAATGTGAATGTACTTAATGCCACTGAACCATGCATCTTCAAATGGTAAATTTTATGTATATTTTACCACAATAAAAATAACTTGAAAATTGAGTTTATAATGATGTTTCCATTTCAAATTTAATGTCACAGAGTTTTTACTATACCTGTCTGATTTTGTATTTTGTTCTTAATAATATTAATATAATTATTTATTTACTTTATTCTGTGATATAGATTATACAGTTTAAAAAAAATAATGCCAATATTAATAATAAATCTACTGATTGAAGTTTAAAATTTCTTTGTGGTTCTTTTTGCCCACAGACTGTATCCTACAAAGGATGTACAGTATACTGAATTATAAAGGAACTTGAAATAATTCTTTCCCTGGTGGTTGCATTATCAGTCTGATATACAGTTAGATCCATTTGATGTGTTTTCAACTGTAGGGTTTGCTTTTTCCTCTTTTTCATTTAATTTTATTTTTTGATAAGGTAAATATATATATGATCAGATGGTGAAATGTTTGCTGTTGAGAATCTGGAAGAGGATGTAGCCCTTTAACGTCACAATATTGGGTTTCACTCAGTAGCAGAGTAATCTTCACGCAGGGTGTGTTTGAAGCCCCAATCCCTCTCCGACACTCCAAGGTCCCCTTGACTACCTGTCAGCCTCCTGGGGCCTCCAGTGGGCTGAACAGGCTGGAGACCATCTCAGTTTAAATAACAACCTTCCCCTCATACTGCAGCTTAAGGATGACCTGTTGCTCTTCTTCATAACTGTGCATGTTGCTCTCAAACCAATAATCACCATACCTGTAATGGGACAATTTCTTGAGCTAATCTATCCCCAAACCAAACAAGGATACCTAGGAGATGGGGTAAGACAGGAGAGGGCTGTGGGGTAGCAGGCTGGTCCTGCCCTCCCTCCATGCCCACCTACCATTCCTTCAGCACTCACTCACTTAACATCAAATGTGACAGGCTGCCCCCTGGGGCTGGGAGGAGAACGGAGCTCACCTTCTCCAGGGAAGACAGACTCTGAACCACACAGAGTGACCCCAGAGCCCAGAAAAGAGAGCATCAACTAGCTGTTTCTCATCATATCAGAGGAAGAGAAAATTTCTCAGGGAGACAAGAAAGAGGAGGGCATTCAAAAAGGAGCAGTGTGTGAAAAGGCACGAGGCAGACGGTATGTTTGGGGAACGCCAAGAAACCCACCAGGTGAACCTGAGAGAGATGAGGGGAGTGGGGATCAAGGTCTTGAAAGCCAGACAGAAGGTTTTAGACTCTATGCTGAAGGCATAGCAGGGAAAAGCTTTGCATGAGGAAAGAACAAGACTCTCTAACTGGGTCACCGGTATGCAAGGCACAGAACAGAGCCATGAGCCCCAGGGGTGGATACTGAGCCTGTTTTCCAGCCTGTCACCCTGGTCGTACCTGAGGAAGGTGGGTGGGGCTGATCGCCAGGACCTGGGTAAGTAGGGGGAGGGGGCAAGCTGGGGTCTTTCCCACAGCAACACACAGCCACGTCTTCACGCCTTCCGTCCCCTTACCTGGTCTTTTCTATCTTCAATTCTACTAGAGAACTGGACCATCTTCCAAAATCTAAGGAAGAATTAGGAGGTAGGGGAGTTTCAGCAGCCCCTGAGGCCAGGGAAGGTCCTGCAGGTGCCCCCAGTAAGTCAGCAGAGGGTCTTCTTGGAGCCCTTCTGTCATCCCCTGCAGTGACCCCTCCTTGCTCCCCATATGAAGAATGTCTGGGTTCCTAGACCATCACTTCCTCACTCAGAGCATCTGAAGTCCATGCCAGATCAAAAAGCTTCAGCAACAGCAGCGCCAGCTGTCTCCAGGAACCCTGGGCTCTGTCACTCCTGCAGGAGGTGGAGTGTCCTGTGGTTTGGTTCTTCAGCGTCTTGAAGCCCTCAGGGGGGACCTGGTTCAGCCTGAGAAGGAGAGCAGAAACTGACAGAACTCTCTGGGAGCGGGCCTGACTCACGTGCCTCCTGCCCTCTCTTCAGAACCCACCTGGAGATCATGGTGTGTTGGTTGACATTGTTGCCGGGGCTGGCAGCCCGCAGGATCTTCGAGTTCCTCACCAATGCACAAGTCCCACAGAAGAGATCAAAATGGCTCACTGAGAGTCTGGGAATCACCTTGGACAGCTTCTTCCACACTTTGCCTAGCTCATGTGCTGAGTTCCTGCCCTGAAAACAGCAGGAGGGAGGAGACTGTGGGCTGGGACCCAGGGAGCATCTCCCAGTGGAAGGAAAGCAGCCCTGAGTGGGTGAGACCTCCATCTGGTTGAGGCTGTGAAGATGGGAGGTGCCCTAAGCCAGGGCTGAGGGCAGGGGTTTGGGCCAGAAGGTGGGAGCTGAGCCAGGCCTGGGAAAGATGGGATGGGGTGGCCCAGTGTTGGCCACTGACCGACCCCCAGAGGACAGCGTCAGGGCTTGTGGACTCTGTTGCTCCCGTCAGGTACCCCATCGTCTTCTCGTAGCATGCATCAAACCAGTTCCCTCTGACTGTGTGGTGGCAGAGAGAGCAGTTGAGGGTCCCAGGTGGGCAGCCACATTTCCTGAATTTGAACCAAGGGCAGCTACACCACCATGGTGCCACATTCATCAGTTTTTCCTGGCGTGCTGATTCAGGTTTCAGATCCAGGCAGGGGACCATCAGCCACAAGATGAGCACCCAGAAGACCCATAGGAGAAAAATCTGCCACAAGCTCTTCATGTCTGGTCCAGACAATGGCTGCAGCAGCAGGCAGCAGACTGGCTCCTCTACCTGGGACTGGGAGGGATGAGGAACTTAGGCCACAGACAGCCCCACAACCCTCTGTCCTGTTGGCCTCCGTGACTCCCAGCCCTACTCACCATACCCCATCCCAACCCTTAATCTCCCACCTCCCTACCTCTTGGCTCACCTCCAAAGAGATTTCTGGCTGTGCCTGGGATGGAAGGTGCAAGGGCAGAGAAATAACATATGGTGTGTCTACTCTCCTCTGCAGGAGGAAGGCTTTGCTCTCAGTGAGGTCCTCTGTGCCACTGGTTATATATACCGTAGATCTCATCACAAAGTACACATTGTGACTCCCTCCTTTTGGCTATCTGGACAAAGCCACCGTGTTATCCTGTCTGTCACACATAAAGCTGCCTACACTGAGTGTAAGATGCACAAGGACAGGGACTGACCTTGTCTCTGAATCCCTAAGACAGAATCATTTAATAAATACTTACGGGATACATGAACAGAGCGGAGAGGGAATTTTAAATATTATGTGTGATGCCCCCTCTCCAGCTGCGTACCTTTGGCCCAGATCTATCTTCTATTCTTTAGACCCCATATCCAGCAGCCTATTGTACCTCGACTTAGGTGTCTCAGGGACCTCTCACCCTGAGCAAGCCTGAGACTGAACTCACGATGTTCCCTTTAAACCAATCCCTTCCCAAGACTCCTCTAGCTCAGCAAATGTTCCTCCATTCACCCTGTTTCTGAAGCCAGGGGTTCTCCTCGAATTCTCCCTCTCCAATGATGATTTCCAAATCTGTTTTAATCCACTTATTTCTATCTCCAAACCTCCTCTTTCTCTTTATCTCCGGTGCCACCCCCTTAATTGTCTTAGCCTGTGGGAGATGTTAAAAAACAAAACGAAAAACTTTGACTTGTTTTAATGTTTCAGAAAAAAGGGGGGGGGAGTGGCCAGAAATCATTTTATTTTTTTAAAAATGTAAAGATATCACACCAGTAAGACTTGAATATAACTTCAAAAGAATTTCTAGAAATGAAAAATATAGTAACTGAAGTTCAAAAAATCTGTGATTTTATTTTTTTTATACTACATGCTGGGTAATCTTTCCAGCTCTTTCAGTTTAATATTTCTCTTTTTAACTGTGTCTAGTTGGCTACTTAGCCCTTCCACTGATTTTTTAACTGAAATTACTATATTTTTCATTTCTAGAAATTCTTTAAAGTTATTTTCAAGTCTTCCTTGTGAGATATCTTCACATTTTTATTGTTTTTTAAATGTCTTTAACCACTCTAAACTTACTTGTTTATAGTTTATCTGAAAGTTCCATAATCTCAAGTTGATGAGCATCTAATCATGCTGATGATGGTGTCTATGACCCTTGCTCATGATGGATTGTGTCCTCATGTGTTTGTGACATTAGATCAAGTGCTCATTTTTAGCAGGGTTTTATCCTTGAGGATGCTATGTGACTTAAATTGTGTTCCCTCAGAGCAGTTTCATGTTTGCTTCTTCCAGGCACCCTCAATTTGATGCTAATTTCTCCACTTCAGAGCTTTCAGACTAAGTAGAGAATCTAAATCCAAATCCCAAATGTGAGGACAAGCCTGTGATTATGATGTCCCAGCAATGTTTAATTTTTATGTTTTTGTCTTCCCATCCAGGACACAAGTGGAGACAATATCAAGTATTTTCCTTGTCCTCCAATGTAAGTGGATAATTTTTTTTTCCAACCTACACTTTCCTACAGCTCTAGCCTTTTCAAGACTCCATCTTTTTATTGAGGCCTCAAAGCATAATCTCCTCTTCCTATATAGGCATCAATATCTGATACCCAAAGAATGCCCCCCCACCCCCTATCTCTTTTGACCATGATTATAAGGTAAGTACAATATGGTCATGGGGAAGTTCAGGCTACATTGATTAAAAAATACTTTGTGAAACCATTTTCTTCCCATCTATTTGACTCCAATAAGTCACTTCTTTCCAAAAGCTTTCCTAAAACTAATGTAGCATCTTACCAAATTATAGCTCCTAACACATATTACTCTCCAATGTAAAAGATCATAGAAATGAAAGTGCTCTGTAAACTGTAAATGTCTGTTACTATGTGTTAAAGAAAGAAAGGAAAGAAAAGCCAAGCCTGTAGATTACTGACACACAGTTTCATTAGACACCACTCCCTGCCCCACTGCCAGAGCCACAAAGTCAGCTCATAAGTTTACTACTTTTTCTCAACTCTTTTACTTTCAGCCCCTAGGAATTTCTCCTCCTTTGTCACCACTCAGCTATACATTCAAAGGGATACTTGTTATTCAGTATTTCAAGATGTTTTACAGCACAATGGTTTCCAGGATTGAGCCTGTATGTTGCTGGAACTAGAGCCAGTACAATTAATTTTCTCCCTGGTCATTGTTTTATGACTTACATAATGGTTTAAATGATATTCCACAAATATTGAAAGAAGGTTCCTCCCTGAATGGATTGTACCAGAGTGCAAATAAAAAGTATTTGCCCAAGACTCTTCCTAGCCCACTGCTCCACAAACTTGCATATGCATCAGAATCACCTGGAAGGCTAATAAAAATTAAAAATGCTGAGCTTCATCTCCAGAATTTCTGATTCAGTTTATCTGGGGTGGGGCCTAAGAATTGGCATTTCTCACAAGTTCCCAGGTGATGCCAATGCTTTTGGTCCAGGGACCACACTTTGAGAACCACTGCCTTAGCTTAGCATATACAGCCAGGAAAGTCTTTTACAGAGAAAAACTGATTCCTTTACTAAAACGGAAACTCATATTCTAAGTACGTTTCTGCTTTCTAAAGAAGGGCTTATAATGTTCTCCTTCCACAGCCTGCAATATCTTCCTAACTGGTATATCTGTTTCTGCTCTATTTATCCATCATCTATTCTTCACCCAGTGACTGGCATGATCTTAATTTAATTTCCTGCTTGAATCCTTAAAATGGCATTCCACTGCACTCAGAATAAAATGCAAAATCCTCAGTCCATCTTATACAGTTTCCAGCCATTCTGGCTTTCTCCTGTTCCTAAAACTTTGCATGTTCCATCTTGCCCCAGGACCTTTGCACTTGCAGTTTCTCTTCCCAGAACACATGACTCCCTCATGCTCCTACCTCAGCACTTAACCTCCCTGGTTCCTTCCCTTTCTTCCAGTCCCATTTAAAATGTCATTCATTTGGGGGCTCCTTCCCTGACTCCTGTGTTATGGAGGTCCCTAAGAAGCTCTCCTAATTAGGCCCTGAGACCCCCTGACACGGCTGTGCTATGACTCTTTGTTCTCAGGGGAAGTGACTAGTGTTTTCAATCCAGATATGTTGAAATCTCTGTATTTCTCCCAAGAGACGGAAAACATGTAACACCTACACATATATTCATTTCTTTAATGATTTAGGAAAAGTTCATTTATCAGTTTTCCAAATAAGATGAAAGAAGGCTGTGACTGGGCAGAATGAACCAATGAAGGGGCCTGAAACCCTCCCCTCTCTAGGCAGGCTTATAGGCTCCAGCTACAGGTGACCCTCTGCTTCCAGCCCCGTGTGCAGGGTGGGCCACTCCTGTGCAGGCCTCAAATGCTCCCAAGGCCAAAGGCTCCACCTTGAGGGAGAGGGCTGAAGCATTAGGGTGAAGCCTGATGTGAGGAATGAAGTTCCTAACTTGTCAGTACCTTGGTCTCCTGTGAATAATGTGTCATGGCCACCTAAAAAAATTCCCCAAAGAGAAGGACTTCGTAATTCTGGAATTCCTAAAACAGAAAGTCTCCTACCCTTGTTGCCCCTCTTACAGTTCCCTGTTTTCCTTCGCAGTACAAGGTACATTCTGCTTTATTTAAGTAGTTTATTATTAATTAATTATTTACTTTATTTTTTTCAAAAAAATTTTATTGTTGGCAAAATACACATAGCATAAAATTTACCATTTTAACCATTTTTAAGTGTACAGTTCAGTGGTTTATATATGTGTTTTGTTTGTTTACCTCTCCCCATCCTATGCTGAAAGCTCCTTGAGGGCAGGTATAAACCACATGTCTTACTCACCATGGTATTCCATAGCCCAGGGGAGACCTGGGAAATAGGAAGAGCTTGGTAAGTATGTGTTGAAGGAGTAAAGGTGTGAGTCATTTAGCATGGAGCCCCCTGAGGAGGGAGGGCTTGGAAGTCAAACATGAATGGGCACAGAATGAATGTACATCAAGAGAGGAGAGGACAATTTTATTAACATTGTCTCTGGGCATCCATCTGAGAATAGACTTCTCCTGCAGTTGGTGGTGGGAGCTAACATGTGGAAGAGACTGTGGCTCCAGAGCTAGGAAAACCAGGGCTTGATCCCCAGCTTTGCTCCATTAACTACCCCTGCAACCTTGGGAAAAGTCAGTTCAGTTCTTGGCTTCCTCCTTTATGAAATGGGGTTTGAAATGGCACCAAATCCCCAGAGTTGTTTTGACATAGGATGGATCTCAGAAGTTGGCATGTTGTCAGTTTTGAATTAATAGGAATTAGTCCTTTCCTTCTCCCCTTCCTAGCAAACAGCAGCCCAAGGGCAGAAAGAAGACTCAACTTCTCTGGAGTCAGACACCCAGCTCCAGTGTCCCTCCTCCTCTTCCTAGACCTCCCTTAACCCAATGTGTCAGTCACTCTCCCCTATGAACTCTGTACCACCTCTTATCAAAGTTCTGGTCTTATGCCTCTGAAATGATTTGAGCCATGCACCTCCACCAGCCATGCTCAGGAGAACCACTGAGAGCATGTTTTGGTAAAACAGCCCAATGGCTACCGGACTACTTTGAGATCCAGAAGAAATGTGTTGGAATCAGGCACTACCATTAACTGGCTGTGATCTAGGCAAGTTACTTAGCTTCTCCAGGCCACAGTTTCTCCTTCAGAAAATGGATATAAAAGTCACACCCACTCTACAACTTGCATTTCCAACCAGTTCCAAGTGATGATAATGAGGTTAGGGACACTTT